CGGGAAAGGAAGTTCGGTGCAGGGTAATATATGTTTTTTACATAAACAGTTACAAACCATCATGATAAAGAACGTTGCAGAAAGTTAGACCTTATCTTATGCTTTTAGTATCTGCAAGACTGTATGATTTTAATCTTATGGGAGCCAGGGAGGTTTTTTTCTTTTTCTTTATATTTGGAATGTTCCTTTTTGATTCTTTGTTTTTAACAAAGTAGATGTACAGTGTGTGCTTGGGGTTAGAAATAGAACCATGCTTTGAGATTTTGGTGGACTTATTTTGACTTTGGTAAATGTTAAAGTACAGCCTCCCCGGGAGCCCGGAAGCAGGGCCCAGGTATGTTAAGAATTGGAAATTTCTTTTATCACCCTCACTCAACTCCCGTAAACACTTGGGGTGGGGACTGGTATTCCCATTTTGCTGATGGGAGGCAAGGATCAGCAATTCAAGCTCCTGCATCCAAGTGAAACCCCAGTTCAACCACTGACCCCCCAGTGATCCTGAGATCAAGTCTGGACTTCTCGAAGCCTTGGTCTCCCCAAAGACAGTAGATGGTAGCACCATAGAGCAGATGGTGTATAGCCCGTGGAATCGCTATGACGTAACACAGCCACCTGCTTAGCACCATGCCGGGCAAATACGAAACGCTTGGTCCCTGCCGGATATTCTTGGAAGGTTTAAATAACTTGCCCAAGAGCACAGTTAACATGCGGCAGAGCCCATACTCTTACTTAGCCCCATTGCTAAATCCAGTTCTTGAACGAAACACAGAGAGGGTGAAGGATTGATGGAAGCAGGGGAACGGGAAGTGGTCAATGACAGAGGTCACTGCATTGCCCCATCTCTGGGGAAACTCTCACGGTGGCCTCAGGATGGCTTCAGCATTCCAGCTGTGACCCAGGCACAGGTGGGAGCCATCCTTCCTCCCATGAGCTTCTGACCTCAGATTCCAGGAGTCAGGCTGTCATCCTATCAGGGCTGTTGGTCAGAAGGGGCACAGGGGGGGCCACTGACTGCCCTTCTGCCAGCCACTGTGTCCCTGAAATCTCTGTGCCTCACAGAGGTGCTGATCATGATTGAGACTAATGAGTCTCATGATTGATTCTAAGGAGCTCAGCTGCCTGTGTTAGAACCCCAACAATTCCCCTTTCGTCCTCAGTGACCCTGGACAAGTCTTTTCACCTCTCTGTGCCTCGGTTTCCTCACCTGTAAAATGGGGATGATAATAATAGCAGTTTAATAAGGTACTTGGCCCAGCACTCAGCACATAGTGAGTGCTCGATAAATACTAGCTTGTTGTCCTACCCACCCAGCATAGTCTTATGGTGCATAACATAGAGGTCTGGTCTCTGTGCACGAGAAGGGAACCATCAAGTGGGGGAGGAAGACCGACAATAAGAGAATCATGTAAGGGAGGCACATACTTGGGAGGAAAGTTCCAGAGCTAGAAGAGCAAATAACAAAGACCCTTAGACCTTGCTTTGGAGTCCAGGAAGGCTTCTGGAGGAAGTGAAACAGGCTGAGATCCAAAGGAAGAGCAGGAGGATCTTGAGGGGCTAGGTGGGGACATAATTCCGGAGTAAGGGAACAGCGTTCTTGAGGCTTTTGTAAAGGCCCAGCAGCAGGCAGGAGTGTGGAGGCCAAAAGGGACTGACTGAAGAGAATGAGGACCCGTGTGGTTGGAGGTGGGGCGGTGCTGTGCTGTGCCTCTGGATGCACCTGCCACATGGAAAAGAGATTATGGGGGCAGAGGGGAGACATGGCGGCTTGGACTAGGATGGGGGCCTTGGAGAAGGCAAGAAGTCTCATTTTTGCAAGGTGGAGCCAGTTTCCTTGATGGGCTCTGGAAGTCCTCTTGGCTCTGGGGGTTGGAGGCTTGGATAGGTGGGTGATGGGTCTCCCTTCAGCCTTGGTGAGCAGCCCTCGGCCCCACCTTCCCACAGGCCTGAAGCTGATACTGGACATAGGCCAGGACGACTATGTGCCCTTCCTCACGTCCACGGCCGGTGCCCGGCTGATGCTCCATGAGCAGAGATCATACCCCTTCATCAAAGACGAGGGCATCTACGCCATGTCCGGGACCGAGACATCCATCGGGGTGCTGGTGGTATGGCCGCAGCCAGAGGGGACTGAGGTGGAAGCCCATCTGCCCAGGGCTAAGCTGCCCCCACCCCCACCGTGGCCCATTACTGCCTTGTCTTCTGGCTGGAATCCCCTCCCCCCAATCCCAGCCTAGGGCGGCCATGCTATAGGGGTAAACAGGCACCTTCTGGCACCTATTGGGGCCTATGACTTCCCATCCCCTTTCGGCATCCTCACCAACACCCGTGGGAGGGAGGAACAAAGGGGGCCTCCTCAGGGTGACCGGGGTCTCCAAGAGCAACCTCTCTGGACACAGGACAAGCTGGAGCGCAAGGGAGAGCCCTACAGCCAGTGTACCATGAACGGCTCCAATGTCCCCGTGCGAAACCTTTACAGCGACTACAACACCACCTACTCCATCCAGGTGAGAAGCCTGCACGGGCCTCGGGACGTGGGGCCGGTCTGTGTCTACCAGGCAGGGGCTCTGGGGGAGCTGGGCCCGGCAAGGCGGGCTCCGCTGGATTTCTGTAGGTGACCATGGGGTGGTTTGGCAGGTTTGGCGGCCCTTGGGGCTGTGGAGCTGGTCCAGTCCCTGGGTGCTCTCTGGGTCCCAGGGCTGGCCACTGCTCGTCCCCCATAGGCAGGGATGCCTTTTGGGTGTGCCCAGAACACGGGGGTCTCACTCTGGGGTCTCCAAGAAGAACCCTCGTGTGGGAGAGAGGCTGTGCTAAGGGCTCACGTGTATTGCCGCATCATGTGATCCTTTCTACATGCCCCCATGGGGCAAGAATAGCATTCGTTATATATAAAACATTTATTTGTTCTAATTATTAATATACGAAGAGTAGCAGGCTTATCGTGTGCTAGGCAGGCTCTGTTCCAAGTGCTTTACACACATTAATTCATTTAATCCTCACAACAATGCCGAGATGTAGGTAAGATTATTAGGAATGAGGAAGCTGGGATTTACAGGCCCCAGTGCAAACGCCTCATCAATTTACCTAAGTCCCTCTTTGTATCCAGCCTCAATTCCCCTCGCTGCAGCTGGAGCTTCCCTTTCACTCCAGGGTCAGCCTGGGGACCTTGTCCTAAGACCCAGCTCCAGTGGAGACAGTCTGAACCTCTGCACAAGTGACAGAAGTGACTGCTCGATCACACCTCTCCCCCAGCCCAGGCTGCCTTTGCAGATAAGGAAGCTGAGGCATAACTGGGGGGCAGCCTAGTGCCTTCCTCTGTGCCTGAGAGCCCTGAGTGTGGCGTGGACTTCTTTTGCCTCCATTACTGGAAATCTACCCACCCTCCGGCCCACCCTGCCTGGCTGACCTGTCCACCCCACACTATGACTTGGCCAGTTTGGCCACCTTCCATCTGGAGGGGCTTCTGTCTGCAGTGAGGAACTTGGAGGAATCTTCTGAGCTTCTGCAGAGATAGGCAGGCAGCACAGGGAGGTGAGGAGCACAGACAGAGGCCACAGAGGCATCCATCAGGCCCAACCTTAGTCACCTCATTCCAGAAAAACCTCAGCTCTCGCTTCGTCCAGTGCAGTAGCCCCATGGGCCAGAGACCTTGGCAAAGACCCAGGCCCTGGTCAGGCATTCTGCCTGCACTGCCCCCACCCCCAGCCTCTGTCATGGGGCCTGGGGAGGACTCCTACCTTCCAAGTGAGACAGTGAGGTCTGGAGGAATGGGAGACCCTTGCCTCCCTAGTCAGAGCCCCTCGTGTGACCCCTCTAGGCCGTCACCCCTCTGTTCCTCCCGGCTGTGCTCACAGGGAGGCCACAGTCCTGTCTGGAGAACACGATAGGACAGGATGCACTAGGGTGAGAAGGGGCACGCCCAGGAGCAGAGGCACGCACAGAGGGGGCAGGCTCTGTGGCTGGTGGGGCCGAGCCGGGGAGAGCAGGGGAGAGCGAGGGTCGGAGCCAGGGGTCCTCCATGCGTGGACAATCGGAGACACGTGAGTAACGGCCACTCCCGTTCCCTGCCTGGTGCCAGGCCCTCCTCACCTTAGCCCACAGTTGTGACAGTCACCCTGTTTCACCTGAGTGACCGCAGGACACATAGCTGACTCTCAGTGTGCTGGAACCAGGTCGGGGTGACCTGAAACCCCAGTAGTGTTTGGAATAAGCCACCCCTCCCTGTGCCGTGTGTGGGGCACCAGCTCTGAAAGGCTGCAGGGCTGTCCCTCAGAGAGTGGAGTCTGGCCTGAGTCCCTCTGCAGGGACCGGGGACAGGGAAGGTCAGCCACACCTGACTGCAGGGTCAGTAGGTGCAGCTCTTCAGCTGGAGGGACCCCTCCCCTGCCTCCTGGGCTGCGTGGAGACATCACAGCCACATCCGTGTCCCCCTCCTCCCACCACCACAGGCCTGTATCCGCTCCTGTTTCCAAGACCACATGATCCGGAACTGCAGCTGCGGACACTACCTGTACCCCCTGCCCCGCGGGCAGAGATACTGCAACAACCGGGAGTTCCCCGACTGGGGTGAGTGGGGGGCCCCTGCCTGCCCGGGCTCTGACCATACAGACAGGCTTGTGGCCTCCGCAGTCCGCAGCCCTCCTCCCCAACACCCCGGGGCCCCCCTCTGTCCTGGTGCACACATGTACCATGTGGACACCCATGCGTGCAGCTGCTGGCGAGCACACGTGTGTGTTTACATTTTCACATGCATGCGGGAGAGGACACGGGGGCACTTGGGGCTGCAGTGCTGTCCACACACGTGTTCACGCACGGGCCTGGGTTGCTTCCGTGTTTGCATCCGTGCGCGTTGGTTTGCATGCCCGCAGTGTGTGCGCTCGAGTGTGCACCCACAAGGCCACATGTACCAGCCTCAGCATGTGTGTCTGTGTCTGTGGGCTCATCGGGTGTCTCTGTGGGGGGCTGGGAGGGAGGGGACACCGAGGTGGCCTCCAAGGCTTTGAGGCCCGAAGTCACAAGAGGAGGAGGAAGCTGTTCTTGCTCACTCTGAGCTGGAGTCCAGGCCTGGGGCCATGGTGGCCTGGAGTCCAAACATGATGGATGTTGTCAGCGGCAGAGAGAGTCCCACCACCTAAAACCAACAATACATGTAGACAAGAGGGGGAAACTATCCTTTCCAGCCACCATCCCTTCACGCATGACCCCATGACCACTGCCCAGCCTGGAATGGGGACGACCAGCAGAGCAAAGCTGCTCGGCTCCTACTGAGCTGAGTGTGGGATATCTGGGGAGAGGCCCCCTACCCCGGGGCCAGGCTGGGGCAAAACTACCTGGACATGGAGCAGGGTGGGAAGGGGTGACCCTCCACAGAGACGACTCCCCCTCCTGGGTAGCCATGGCCAGGGGGTAGGGGGCAGCCCTGGGCTCAGAGGAGGAGAGGAAAATGTCTAGAAACCCCCCACTCTAAGTCTCTCACCCCCAACCCACCCTGCTCAGCTTACTGTTACTCACACCTACGCATGAGCGTGGCCCAGAGGGAGACCTGTATCAACATGTGTAAGGAGTCCTGCAAGTGAGTGCGGCTGCTGGTGGGGGTGGGCACAGAGGCGGGGCGGGGGAGGGTGGGCGGGAGGAGACTGTGGGGCGGGGCGGTGCTGGCAGGGACCGCAACAGGGCTGCCTTCTCTCTCCCAGTGACACCCAGTACAAGATGACCATCTCCATGGCTGACTGGCCCTCAGAGGCTTCTGAGGTGAGTTGGTGGAGTGGCCAAGCTCCGGGCCACCCACCTTTGGGCTAGGGACAGGTCTGGGCATAGGCCTGTGGGCTCTTTGTCCCTCCACTAGTGTCTCCCAAAAGCGCTGTGCTGGCGACACAGCAGTGAACGAGACCGGCACAGTCTGTTGCTCTTACGGAGCTTACATTCTGGTGGGAGAGAGACAATATGTAGATGTTAGGTCACTTCACAGGGTGACAAGGGTAGGAAGTAAACAGGATGACTGGAGAGTAACCAGGGGAAACCGCGGTAGACAGAGTGGTCAGGAAGAGCTCCCTGCACACGTAACATGTGAGGCAGGGCTGGGGAGGAGGATCCTGGCAGAGGAACAGCAGATGTGAGGGCAGAGGAGGGAGAGAGCTGGCGCAGGGTGGCCGGGCCTCTGGGGGAAGACTGGGGACCAGAGCGTGCCTTCTCCCCATAGCAGCCGCCGCGGTGGGCACTACTCTTACCTACCTCCTCCCAAGGCCGGCACATGGTCCCGGGGGCTTCGGGAAGCTACCGGGCTGTGGCCTGCCTCCCCCATGGGCCTATGATTGGGACGGGAGGCTGCAGGTGCCATTTTTTTCAGCTGTTTTCTTGGATTCCAGGATTGGATTTTCCATGTCTTGTCTCAGGAGCGGGACCAAAGCACTAATATCACCTTGAGCAGGTGAGCTTAAGTTAGAGTCTTAGGGGCTGGGGAATGCAGAAAACAGGAGGAACCAGAACCTCAGCGGAGGGGGTTGGATATACAGCAGATACTCAGACACCTTCTCACACTGGTCAGACCCAGGAGGAAGCCTGAAGGGGGCAGCACTGGAAATGAGAGGGAGACCAGCCAGTGGGACTCAGAGTCTACCCCTTCCCAAAGGCGAGCCTATTTCTCCATATGTCACCTGCTCATCCACCCGTCCTTCATCCATCCTTCTACCCACCCATCTATCCATCCCACCCATCCGTCCTTCCAGAATTCTACCTATCCCTCTATCCACTTAGCAATCCACCCCCCATCCATCCACCCACCCACTCAACCTCCCATCCATCCACTCGTCACCCACCCACCCATCATTCATCCCCCTATTATCCTCCATCCACTCCTCCATCTTCCCATCCATCAAATGCAAACACAGATCACACCGTCAGGGAGCTCCAGTCTAGAGGACAGTATGCCAGCAGGGCTTCTGCTGATGAGAGTCTATACAAGACCCTCCCTTTGGGAGCACAGCAGGGAAGGAGCTGTCTGCCTGGGAGAAGGGAGGGGACACTTGAGCCAGCTCTCCGAGGAGAAGCAGGAGCTGCTCAGACAAGTAAGAGGCAGAGATGTCGAGGCAGAAGCCTGGAGGTACGAGACAGCATAGCTCTTCCGAGAACTACCAGGTGTAAAGGGGAAGCACACTTGAGCAACTTTCTGTGCCCCGGGTGCCCTGATGAAGGAACAAGGCTTAGGACTCTGTACAGAGCCTGTGTATGGGCTGGGTGCCCGGGGGTGGGAGAGGGGAGCCCAGACCGGTCTGGGGCCCACAGGGGCCAGGAAGGGCAGCACTTTGGGCTTCTGCTTGGACCTCACTGTTCATGGCAGTGGACATGTGAGAAGCTCCAGCCAGAGGACCGGGGGCCCCGGCTGCCTTTCCTGTGAGCGTGTCGGTGTGTCTTGGGGAGGGGTCACCAGCCCTTCTTATTGCTCTTACAGGAAGGGAATTGTCAAGCTTAACATCTACTTCCAAGAATTCAACTATCGCACCATTGAGGAGTCCGCAGCCAATAACGTGAGTCTGGGGGCTCCTGACATCCGAGCCCAACAGGGGAAATAGAGTCCCTAAAGGAGGTACAAGTGGTTTCCCCTGGGCTGACATGGTCACCCCATCCCCCTTCCCAGCCGAGGGCCCACCTCACAGGAACCCGGGAGGCGGGGCTCAAGGCAGGAATTTGTGGCCTGACCCCCAGGCCTGCCAGCCTCTCAGCCCCCTGCTCTCCATAGATCGTTTGGCTGCTCTCAAACCTGGGTGGCCAGTTTGGCTTCTGGATGGGGGGCTCGGTGCTGTGCCTCATCGAGTTTGGAGAGATCCTCATCGACTTCGTGTGGATCACCATCATCAAGCTGGTGGCCTTGGCCAAGAGCCTGCGGCAGAGGCGGGCCCAGGCTCGCTATGCCGGCCCGCCGCCCACCGTGGCTGAGCTGGTGGAGGCTCACACCAACTTCGGCTTCCAGCCCGACGTGGCCAGGCCGGGCCCTGACCCCGGGACCTATGCCGGTGAACAGACCCTGCCCATCCCGGGCACCCCACCCCCCAACTACGACTCCCTCCGTCTGCAGCCACTGGATGTCATCGAGTCGGACAGTGAGGGCGATGCCATCTAGACCCAGGGAGCCCAGAAGTCAGATCCGAGAAGCCAAGATCACTGCCCAAGGCTTCACTTTGCAGTGCTCTCCCCAGAGGGCGAGAACGATGGGTCTCTGAAGCCAGAGTCTGTGTCCCTCTACAGAGAGACCAGCGGCTCCTGGGTCACGGTGCTGGTTCAGATACGGGAAATGTGTACTCATTCGGTTCCTGCCTTACCTCCATCCTGGCCTGATCTTTGGCTGGGACGTCCCCAGCCAGGCTCTGGAGACCCTGGCACACCCTCCCCTGCAGACACGCTGGTTTCCTCCTGGTGCCAGTCACCGTCCGCTCCAGAGACACACAGGCGGGCATGCTGGGGGTCTGTCCCCAGACCTAGCAGTCTTTTCCGTGCTGGGCTGAGCTCTGCCAACGGGCTGAGTGGGGGCAGCAGTTGGGCACAGCAGGAAGAGCATCAGGACCAGGGGCGGGGCGGGGGGGGCCTGCTGCCAGGTGGCACATGTTATGTTCTAGAAAATAAAAGTAGAAAACAGAACTGAGCTTCGTTTTTTTATTGGACTGGGCACTCCAGATGCCCTGACACACCCATACTGGCTTGGAAGCAAGGATCTGGCCAAGGGAAGGCCCCCAAGCAGGTGATTTTTAAGGTTCCTTTCGGGCTGTCCCTGAGGCAGTGGACTTGATGACTTTTTCCATGCCATCCACCATACTTGTGTGTATGGCGGGGACAGAGCGGGAGAGGGTAATACTCAAGCAGCTCAAATGATGTCTCGGGTGCCTCTGCTTTCCCAGGCAGGCTCTCCTCACATCACAGCAAGACAGCCTGTCTGCAACCCCGGACTCCCGAGCTCCCCAAACAGGAGGCAGTACCTTCTTTCCAGTTGTCTCAGCAAGTTCCCCGGGCGGACTGTCACTGGTCACTGGGTCACGTGCCTGTCTCTGAACCAATCAGTGTGAGCAGCTGGACAGGCTGCTTGGATTGGTCAGGTGCCCCCAGCAGAATCACATGGTCCTATGGTGGTGGGGGGTCATGGCTCCAAGGACTGCCAGATAAAATACAGGCTGCCAAGTTATGTATGAATTTCAGATACATAAATTAATTTTTTTAAGCTTACTTAGTAGGAGAGGAATAGAGAGAATTACAAACAGGCTCCGCACTATCGGCACAGTGCCCCATGAAGGGCTCAAACTCATGAATCATGAAATCACGACTGGAGCCAAGATCAAGACCCCAATGCTCAGCCAACTGAGCCACCCAGGCTCCTCAACAACAAAATATTTTAGTACAAGTAAATCCATGTAATATTTGGGGCATGTTAATCATTATTTTTTTGAAATTCAAATTTAACTGAGCATCTTGTATTTTTAATTGCTACATACGGGAACCCTGATGGCTCTCCCCAGAGAGAGCAGGAGTTGTTGCCAGAGAAGAACAGGGTCTGTCAGGTGCCGACGGCGGACCACCTATCAGCCCCAGGCACGAAGGAGCCCTGACTTTAGAGCCTGGGCATCTGAGGGCCCAGCCCTGCTGGGCTGGAGCAGCAGACGAGCCGGCCTCCCGTTAAGTGCCCACAGTGGCACCTGTGGGGGAAGGAGGTGCCACAGACTTGGTGCCACTGTGGCCAAAGGCAGCAACGTCAGGGACTGTGCAGAGGGCCAAGAGGAAAACAGGTTCCCAGCTCGGGGCCAGGCGAGTCTGCAGGCTGGAGTCGCAGTCCTTGGCGGTCACCACATTTACTCCTAAGACTACTGCCTTCATCATTAGGGAGAGTTGTCGCCACACTCACTGTTATTTGTTGTTGGCATCAAATAATGGCTACATTGTATCAGACACTTACCACAGGCTAGGCGCCAGGCCAAGTGTTTTGTACGTCTTACTCCATTTAATTCTCATAACCACCAAGAAGTATTAGCATCCCATCTTACAGGTAAGCAAATTGAGACTCAGGGAGGCGAAGTCAGATGCCCGAGATCACTCTTCCAGTTAGGGACAAAGGTAAAACTCCAGCCTCCTCCTCTTGCTGCCAGTGGTCATAAGAATGCCGCCCGTCCCTTACAGGCCACCCGGGGCTTCCGTCCTTACTACCTCATCCGATACTGTGGGGCAGGCAGAGCACTGACTATGATTGACCTCCTTTTGCCAGCTCTCTGGTCACATTAATGTGAGCTGACTTAAGCTAAGAAAGGAAATCCATTGGTTCTTGTAATAAGAGTCCAGGGATCTCAGGCATGGCTGTATCCAGGGGTTCACCTAGATCTGGTGATTTGTTTCTCCAGCTCCTGGCTTTATTGTCCTCTGTGTTGACGTCCCTCTCAAATAGATTCTCTCCGTGTGCTGCTCTTCCCCCAACAGGTTCCAGGCTCCATTCTGTCCGCTGAGCAACTTCAGTGGGAAGACAGCTCCCCTTTCTTGCACAGTGTCCCAGGAAAGGCCCCGAGAATGAAGGCCATTGGATCGGCCTGTGCCACATACTCCTCCTGAACTGAGAGGTTCTGTTCAGGAAGTTTTGCAGCAGATGTGGGAAGGGTGCTCCCTGCCCTCAGAGCTCTGCGTGGACATGTCAGAGCAGGGCCAGGCCAACAGTGGGCAGTGGTTGCCATCCCTGTGCTCAGGGGAGCCCTGGGGGCCGGGGTGAAGATGGATGATGCCCCGTCTCTGAAGCAGGCTCTGAGGCAGGCAGGCGGGTTCCCCTCATCCCTCCAGATCTGGAGGAGAGGAGCTCTGTCCTGTTCCCACCCTGGGGCCATCAGAGCCTTTCAGGGCTGAAAAATTAGGCTGGCGGGATCCAAGGTGCCCAGAAAATAGCATTCGTAATTCCCCTACCCCAGAAGGGAGGGTAGGTTACAGACACCGGAGACTACGAAATTAACATTCACTGTGCGCTTGCCGCGTGCTTCGCTTCTGCTGTATCTCAGTGGCTCTTCAAATAATGCTGGATTAGGGACCGCCGTGGCTCCCATTTTTCACATTAGGAAACGAGGCTCAGAGACTTGACGTGACTTCCCCAAGGTCACAAGGTTGGGAGGTGGCAAAGCCAGGAATCAAGCGGCTCTCACAGATACTGGCGCAGAGGTCACCCCAGCGAGGTTTCTACTTTCCCCAGCACGCTTCCCCTTCCAGGCTTCCTGCTCTCGCTTCTTCAAGGCAGGAGCCAGGCTCGGTCCCTGCCAGGGACAGTCTGTGATCCACCACATGAGAAACCAAAATATTTTTGTTGGTGCGGGCTCACGGTTCTCTCGGGGCCAGCAAAACTGGTTCTGGGCATGTGAGGACAGAGCGTGCAGGAGCCCCTGGATGATGGAGCCAGTGCGACGCTGGCCCCGGCAGCCTGGAGGGGCCGGTTCATGAGGGCGGAGTGGGGCGGCGTTGCTCCAGGGGGCTGGCCGAGCAGGGGTGCGGCGGGGGCGAGGTGGTGCCGCCTGCTGCGTGGTCAGCACTGCAGAGCCCAGCCCCTTACACCTCTCCCGCCCAGTTCCTTTGGCTGTTAAGACAGCGGGGATACTCGCCACCTCGGAGGCCGTGCAGAGGCGTGAGAGAGGCTGAGAAACTCGGGCAGGAGGCCGTTCCCAGCCTCACCTGCAGCCGGGGGGATGCCTGGGGACCAAGAAGCAAGTCGCGGGGGCCCCTGGGGGGGCCTTTGCCTCCACAGTGAGAGGGACCACGCCCTCTGCCTTCGCCCTCCCAGAATGCCGGTGTGATGCCTGCAGCTGCAGGAGTCGGCCCACCCGGAGGAGGCTGCCAGCACACGAGGAACAGTCACCGGGAGGCTGGTCCTGGTCCTGACTCCATCCAGCCACCGAGTCAGTCCCCACAGCCACCACCGTGTGAGAAATCAATTCCTATTTGCTAAAGTCACTCAAATTACATTACTCTGTTATTTGTGGCCAATTACAGTCTTAACAGACACAGAAGCTATTGGCAAAAATCCTGATAAAAAATCCACACGATCCTAAGAGTTTTAAAACAGGACAAAGCAAAAGCCTGAGTCCTCACCACGGCCTGCAGGCCAGCCTGTGGTCTGGCCCCCACCACCCCTCTGACCCAACTTTCTATTTCCAGGCCACTGACCTTGGATGTGCCCCCGGGGCCTGGCCCACCAGGGTCCCTCATTGCCATACACGCGTCTGCCCTGTCGGTGTGGGGGCTGCCCTTGCCCAGATGCGCTCTACTTCCCTGGCACCACGGTCTGACATCATCTTCTTTGTGCTTCTCCCCCTCCTTCCTGGCCGGGTCGCAGTGCCTGGAGCACGGCATAGGCGGGGCACCCCGATATTCACAGAGGAAAGGAAAGAAAATGGCTTTCTTTTCACAGTATTTATCAATTCCCTTTTCAAGACAGGCTCTTTTAGAAAATCATCCAAAAACCCCGCTCTGATAAATAATATACCTCTAATTACAACCTATTTTTTTTTTTTTGATTATACAAATGAACCGTGCCTTTAAAGACAAATACTGCCCAATACCGGGCAGATTTTTTAAGCAAACTCCATCCCGGAAGTTGCTGTGACCCCAGGACCCCAGGCCTGTGCCTCTTCTCGACCGGGTGCCCGGGCGGGGGTCAGTACTCCACGCCCCGCATGGCAGCCACCGTGGCGGCGAGGCGACGGGGCAGGCCTTTGCTGAGCTGCCTGTAGTCCTCGGGTCTGCTCTTCAGGAGAGTCCCGATGCTCTGCAGAGGGCGGGACGGCTGCAGGCCCAGGGCGTCCATCACGTTGATCAGGTAGTCTGTGGGGGAGGAGGGGCAGACAGGCGCAGCTGAGCACCCAGCGCCGCGTGGGCCAGGGCCCTAAAGGCCTTCCTGAGGCAGGAACAGAGATGCCCGCCCCAAAACCCCCGAGGTGCTGGGTGTCCACTCTGCCCCCACCGGCCAGTCCTTTACTCTGAGGGTTTTCCCATGAGGATTAAACCTACCGTGAACTTGGCCTGAGTCCAGGAATTCTACCTGAATAAAGGACTAGCCAACCCCACAGCGTCCCCACCACCCGACCACACGCTCAGCTCTCCAGCCGGGCCAGCTGACCTCACCCAAAGCTCTCTACTGGGACTCCTGTGACTTACTGGCCACACCCCCCAGGGGACCCCACTGACCACATGGAGAACCCGAGGAGTCAGAGGACACACCACAAAATCACCATCGGTGCCTGAGGCGGTGGCCCGGAGCACTGCGGTTCCCACTCTAACCCCCTGGGGTACCAGTTGAAGACACATTCCCGAGCCCACCCAGACCACGTCAGTGAGAGTCTCCACGAGGTGGTTTGAGGACCCTGTCCTCCTACAAAGCAGCCCCATGACTCTAACCAACAATGGCAGAGCGGGGAAGGGAGAAGACTGTTTCCAGGTTCGGGTGAGCTCAGTGAAGTCCTTTCTCGCTGCTTCTCTGCTTCCTTCCGTCGATGCCGTGTGGTCGAGAGGATGAGATGGGACAAAGGCCATGGAAGCATGTGTCACGGGGGTAACCGTGCTGCCCCGACCTCCGCCTTCCTGGGCAGCCACAGCCCGGACCCGAGGAAAGCTGGGAACAACGTTCTCGGTTCCCCTGCAGACCCGACAGGCCCTGGAGACGCCGGGCGACCGCTGTCCACCACGGGGAGAATCTCTTCTCGCACCTGCCCTCGTGTCCTCCGGAGGCCCGGCGCCCGCGGGAGCCGCCTGCCCCGCCCCGCCGGCCCCAGCTGGCTGGCTCACGTCCAGCCCGGGATGGGCTGCTTCCCAGGGAGGGCGCCGGCCACCAGCCGGGTCCCCGTCGCCGCACAAGTTCATCCACAACTGAGCCTCACTCTACTGGGAGCTGCAGGGTGGCAGCCCACGTCTCCCGTGACATTTCTGTTTGGCCAGGAGAGTGCTTTGGGGTTTTGTTTTGACGCTCAATCTATCTTTAAGGCGGCCGCAGACACCTCTGCTCTCTATGGGGCTACGGCCTGGCAGCCTCCACACCGGCCCCACCAGCCTGGCCCCGAGGGACGCTCTAAAGCCCCACGCCCTGTGGCCGGCACGTAACAGAAGCTCCGTCACTGCCGAGTGGGGAACAGCGTTCGGGAAGGTGAACAGGGAGGGAGCAGTAAGACGGGCAATGCCCACATCTCCCTACTCGCGACTGGTTCTGTCTCGTGCTTCTGTCTGTACTAACGGGGACCACCTACGAGCCCCGAGTCTCCTCATCCCTCTTCCCTGAACACTGTGCCCAGGGACGTGGAGGAGGGCTGGCGGCTCCTCTGTAACCCTGACGGCTGACGGCGACGTGAAAGCAGGACGCCGGGATTCCGGGCCTGACTCTGTCGCTCGCGGCTCTGGGACCCGCAGGAAAACGACTCACTTCTGTTTCCTCTGCGGCTTGGCCCTGGGGTCCTCCAGGTCAAAGCTCTGTCTGGGTCCCCAGCAAGCGGATCTTCAAGGCTCTTACCACCCTCCCCCGGCCACCCCGAGAGCTGCCTCAGGTAAAGAGCAGACAGGTCAGCAGAATGATACCAGGACACTGGGGAGACTCCCCTACCACGAGCCGGCAGCACCCCAACCGCAGAGCGCCACATCCTGCAGGGATGGCCCCAGCGGGAGCAGGCGGACACCTGCCGTCTGACCCGGGGGCTGGGCCGGTGGCCTCGTTATTCAGCACGATGGAGGGGAGACCTCCATCACGCGCCAACCTCACAGGGGAGCTCTGAGCGTGAACATGGACCGGATGTGGGTACAAGGGCTCGGCGCCTGGCATGCCTGGGGCGTGGTTGACAGCCGTGGTTTGGGCGATTATGTAAATGCAGCAGCAGAAGCCAAGGCAGCACTACACGCGTCTGTTACCACTCACTTCGACTTGCCTCCCTGAAGCTCCCCTTGACGGTGCCCAGCCTCGGTGGCCCATCAGGGGCACCTTCCCAAATACTGATGTCCAGCCTTCCACCCAGACATACGAGGCCAGAATCCCTGGGGGCCAGGCCTAGAGAACTTGCATTTGTAACACACTCCGCGGCCAAGCCCAGGGGTGAAGTCAACGGGAGAGCCGGGGCCGACAGACGCCTTGGGCCTCAGCTGTCCCTCCAGTCACCCATCCTGCGGGGGGGACTCACCGATGTCGGTGGCCAGCTGCTTGGTGGAGTGCGGGGTCAGCTCAGGGATCTGCAGGATCACGTCACAGTAGGTCTGCATGGTGGCTCTGGCGATGGAGCCCAGCCAGCTGTCCGCCATGTTGTCCACCTCGGGCAGCTCGTCCCCTGGGAAGGGAGAGAAGGTCACCAGGAGGCCCTGCTCAGAAGAATCCCATCGCCAACAGCTTTTACCTTCGGGGTGACCAGGCCCACAGCCCGTGCTGTACACACAACACGCCAGGGAGCTACGGTCTCGGTGGAGAATGCAGGGAACTGAAAACCATCACGACTTTGGCCAACAGGTATCGACTTGAGTGAGAAGAGGATTCAGAAGAGGAAACAATTGGGGAGGGAGAGTGATCTCTGCGTTCCCAAAGACAGAGGACTGAGTGCAACCACACAGGCTGGGACAGAGGGCAGGGGGGACCCCGTGAGAGGGCAGCCCCACACCAGCTGAGAAGGCGGGAGAGTGGTCACAGCCGACAGGGAGGCGGTGGCATGTCAGGACTGAGACCCGGGCCAAGGCCATCTACCACTGATGAGCTGGGGGCTGCCCAACCTCTCAGAGATGCTTGTCATCGGCTGTAAAATGGAGGTGACACAGTCTCGCCGTCCCAGGGCTGCTACGGGAATCACCAGAGGCCTCGGTGTGTGTGCCTCACGCTCAGTGCTCTACACTCAGTGGCTCTTGGTGTCACATCACTTATGGGGAGAGAGAAGGGGTACAGATGGGGGGGCAGCAGGGGGTGGTGTTGGAGGAGACCCTGAGAACCACATGGACCCCGTGTCGGAGGAAAACAGGCAATGGCCACAGGATGCAATGTGACAAGCCCATGTCGTGGAGAGCCAGTCAGGCTGTGGGGTGGGGGGGAGAGCAGCCATCCTGGTCAGACACGCCTGAGCTGGGGGCAGGGGGACGGCGGCCACCTGACAGCAGAAATGGGAAGAAGGGGAGGAATGAGAGCAACGTTAAAACAAACAAAAAAGTATGGGGACAAGCAGTGAAAAAATACATTTAGGAGAAGAAAAGCAAAATGCTTCTACCGCCACAACCATCACTAATAACACAGAATATAAAGCTGCGCGTCAAATATCATCTGCGCAGAGGGCGGAGTCCAGACGGCACGTGGGGAAATGGAAACACCGTTGTGTTTGACGACGGGAGGTCATGATTTTTTCCTCCACACCCGTGACCTTCTTTGGTATCTAGCATCTGTACAACAAGAACAAACGAGAAAGTTAAAAACCAAGACAGGATGAGCATAGATGCACAAGGAGGAGAACGTGTCATCTAGCGCTTCGGCCCCGGAACTGGACCGCTGGCCCGGGGGTGGCGTTTCCACAGACGCAGCAAGGCAGGGAGGCTGCTCCGGGGGACCGGCCTCCTTCCCGACGGCTTAGAGGCAGAAAAGGACACACCTGGCAGGCCAGAGCACAGAACACCTACATTTGAAGGCTGTGGGGCAGAAGCTGAGGGCAGAGCAGAGCACACGAGACGGGAGAATGAGACGGGGCTGAGGCTGGCAGCTGGGAGGCACCGCAGGGTTTGGGGAAAGGCACTTGTGTGGACACAGGGTGGCAGGCGGTCATTTACGCGTTAAGTGCCCCAGGCCATTGACCAGTGCCCCGCTGGGTCTGGTGCTGCCCCGGGCGCTGGTGCCTGTGTGGGTGGCCCAAACCAGGCCCTCAATACAGCCAAGTCAGAGCTGCAGCAAGGGTACCACCAAAGACAGATAGGCACCTGGAATCGAGAACTGCTACCCGTGCTCCGTGTGGACGGACGGACTACTGGCCAAAAGCACATGCAGAAAAAGAGCGTTCCAGGCAGAGAACAGTGTTCTGAGGAAGTGCCCCAGGGAAACAGCATGTGTGACATGGGGCCGCTCATGAAGCGTCATCCATGCAGATCTGCAGAGAGAGGCGCGTCGCCCAACAGCCCCTCTGAGGGCAGTAGACTTCTATCCAGAAAAGTTCTGAATTTTTTTTAATGTTAATTTTTGAGAGAGAGAGAGACAGAGTGCAAGCAGGGGAGGGGCAGAGAGAAAGGGAGACAGAATCTGAAACAGCTGTCAGCACAGAGCTGGTCGCGGGGCTTGAACTTGTGAACCAAGAGATCATGACCTGAGCTGATGCCGGGCGCTCAACCCATTGAGCCACTCAGGTGCCCCCAGAAAAGTTCTAAAGTTTAAAAAAATTAAGAAAAAAATCTTTCTAAGTGGCTCTGAGCATGTGGGGGGCACAGGTGGGACAGAGCAGGGTCTCTGACATCACGCCAGGGAGGGGCTAGATCTCGTCTCGTAGGTTCCAGGGGCTGTGGGAGGTTTTTAGGCAGGCCAGGAATAATTAGTCAGAGGATAAGGACAAGAACCAGGAGACAGAACAAAATACACGAAATGCAGGAGAGAAAAGAAATCTCAAGAAGGAGGATATTAAAAGGCCAGGCAGACGGAGTGTCAGGCGCAGCAGCGCGTCAGCTCTTGCTGATTGAGGGAATGGTCTGGCCAGGACCTTCCTGGGCCACAGTCAGGCCACAGGGCAGGGGCCCAGCACCACCACCAGGAGGCACATCTGTCCCTCACTGCCCGGCAGGTGCCGGCTGCCTCCAAGGGACCCCGTCCCACTGTGGCCCCCGCCTGGCACCCCCACTGAAGGAGGGGATGTGATGAGCACAGAGATCACAGTTTTCCTGCAAATGCCTCTGCTGTAACACACAGGGTGTGGGTGAGCCCCGGACACATCACTTCAAAGTTCCCAACGTTCAATTTCCTTGTGGGAAAAAGACTTGCAGAGACTTTTTAAAACTCCCTTCTGGGGTGCTGGGACGGCTCAGTCATAAGCATCCAACTCTGGCTCAGGTCATGATCTCACCATTTGTGAGTTCAAGCCCCACATCGGGCTCTGTGCTGACAGTGCAGAGCCCACTTGGGATCCTCTGTCCCCTTCCCATTCCCCTGCTTGTCCCCCGCTCCCTTTAAAAAATAAACAAACATTTAAAAAAACAACTCCCTTCTAACCACACTGCTTAGGAAAAGCCACTTATCTAAGCCAAATAGTTCCTACTGGGGGCGCCTGGGTGCTCAGTCGGTTAAGTGTCCGACTTCAGCTCAGGTCATGATCTCATCATGGCTCATGAGTTCAAGCCTCACATCAGGCTCTGTGTTGCCAGCCTGGAGCCTGCTTCAGATTCTGTCTCCTTCTTTCTCTGCCCCTCCCTGGCTTGCATGCATGCTCTCTCGCTCGCTCGTTCTCTCTCTCCCCTCATGTCTCAAATATAAATAAACATCAAAAACAAAAAAACAGGCAGAGAAGGACAAATATCATATGTTTGCATGTATAGGAGGATTAGGAGGAACTTGACGGAGGAACAAGGGGGAGAAGAAGGGGGGAAATGGTGGGGGGAAGGGAGAGAGGCAAACCATGAGAGACTCTTGAATGCTGACAAAAACTGAGGACTGATAGATGTGGGGGGGGAGAGGGGGATGGGCATGGAGGAGGGCACTCGTGGGGATGAGCACTGGGTGTTACGTGGAAACTAATTTGACAATAAACTATTTGTTAAAAAAAACCCACAAACAAACAAACAAACAAACAACTTAAAAAAAAAACCCAAAACCAAAAACCACACCAAACCAAAATAAAACCAAAAAGTTCCTACTGGCTTCTGCTCACCACCTAGTTCTTAAACCATGCAAATGTCCCCTGATTATATAGGGGTGTTTACTGGGTAATTCTTTCCAGTTTTCTGTATGTTTGAAATTTTTCATGGGTAAGGTGCTGAAAGGGAGGAGGGGGCGAGGGGGAGAAATGCCCAGATTGGCCTGTTGCCACGGTTTTGGACCACTGTCAGTTTTACTTTAAGGCTGGGGTTTTTCCCCTTCTTAACAATACCCAAAGTGACCCTTAGCACAGAGTAAGCAATTAATAAAAGTTTCCTAGGTGAATGAATTTATGCCTGAAATGACTGTTATGACTGAAAACATTTACAGTGTAAGTGAACCTGTATGTATGTATTTCCAGTGGGACAGTAAGTCTCTAAGCTCTTCCTGCTGTGACCTAACAGACACAGACAGAGCACTGCTGTTTTCTTGCCAAAGAATCTGAATTTGAATTTAATCCTTGTCAATAAGAGATACATGATGGTATATTTATGCATGGCATAATAGGATGCCTAGGATTTGATTTAAAAACTCTTGGAAAAATTTGAGAGGAACATATGAAACAAGCAGCCATTCCGAAAGCCAGATAATGAGTACTGGGGGCTTCATCGTACTGGTCTCCCTACACGTGTGTGTGTGTGTGTGTGTTTGTGTGTGTGTGTGTGTGTCAATGTCTATGAAAAAAATTGTAAAAATGTTTTTTCAACTTAAAAAGTATACTAACAGATGAAAATAGCCCCTTCAATAACTATTATCAACATTTCAGTGTACGTAAACTTTTTAGACATAAATACAGCCTTATAAAAATTTTCAAACAATATAGAACTGGAGTAAAAAGTGAACATCCATCCCGTCCGAACCCCCACTCCCTCCCAGAGAGGGCCACTGTGGCCAGTACTGCACATCTTCTTCCAAACCTGTTTTCAGTGCTTTTATGGATACACATACATGTTCAAAAACACAGGGTTGGGCTTTTGTTGAAACATAATATATGTAATTTTGTGTCTTGCCTTTTTTTTCCTTAGCAATAAAAGATCTTTTTTGTCTTAATAAAATGGCAATATTTTTGAAGATCTTATCTGGAAGTACAAATAGGTGCTTATAGAGAAAATTTTAAAGAAAATGTACACATTATGTATATGTCACAATACACCTAACTACTCCCTGATCAACAGACATATTTGCTGTCTCTAATTTTTTGCCATCAAACAATTCTGCAATGAGCCCCTCATATGCACCTCTGTGGGCACATACACACAGATTTCTCTAGAATGGACATCTAGAAGACAAAAATGATGGCTTTGGGGTGCCTGGGTGGCTCAGTCAGTTGGGCGTCCAACCTCGGCTCAAGTCATGGTCTCACGGTTCATGGGTTCGAGCCCTGTGTCGGGCTCTGTGCTGACAGCCAGCTCAGAGCCTGGAGCCTGTTTCAGATTCTGTATCTCCCTCTCTCTCTGACCCTCCCCTGCTCACACTGTCTTTCTTTCTCTCAGAAATAAATAAAACATTAAAAAAATTTTTTTAAATGATGGCTTTGGTGTGCCTGGGTGGCTCAGTTGGTTAAGCAAGCATCTGAGACTCTTGATTTCAGTTCAGGTCATGATCTCACAGTTTCTGAGTTCGAGTCCCATATTGGGCTCTGCACTGACAACACAGAGCCTGCTTGGGATTCTCATTTTCTCTCTCTCTCTCTCTCTCTCTCTCTCTCTCCTCCCCCCCTCTGTGGCCCTCCTCTGTTCATGCTCTGTCTCTCTCAAAATAAACAAATAAATTTAAATAAAATGATGGATTTATTTTGACTGTTGATAGAGACTGTTGTCCAGACAGTCTTTATCAATTTATTCTCCCATCTACAGGGTCCAATCTTTGGTTTTCTCCTTTGTTTAAATCATGGGAGCTATCATACAGATGGTAGAATATATACAACACATTACCCGTGCTTTGGAGAACTATGAAACCAGTGCCCATGCACTGGTTGAAGCTGCCACCTGCCCCCACACATGCAGCAGGCAGCCACCGACATGGTCCCAGGGGACCTTCTCCTGCCCTGCTCTCCAGCTACTCCCCATGTCTGCACCCCCACCCGCCCCCCAGCTGGCCCTCGAAGCTGTCTGTATGCATTCTTTCTGCCTTATTTCTTTTGCTCAGTAATGTGACTGTGAGAATCACTCACGTCATTATGTGTCACCACAGCTAATTTTTAACGTTGTGTACCATTCCATTGCATGGCTGCACTGTCATGTATGTACCTATTTTACTGCAGATGGACACCTGAGTTGCCTCTAGGTTGGGTCTATTTGCAAGTTACTAGCAATATTCTTATAGCTATATGTGGGAGGAACATATAGGAGAAATTTAGGATATACATCTAGCAGTAAAACTGATGGGACAAAGAGGATACATGCTGTCACATTTTACTAGAAAATGCCACACTGCTTCCAAAGTGGATATGCCAATTCAGAGTGGTTCTAGTCATTTCTTGCATGTGTGTGCCCAGCAGTTTTTAAGATGGACCCACTCTACACAAACTATTTTATAACCATTCTTCACACTCAGTATACTGAGAACATATGTATAAGTTATTAAATATCTTTTATAACATCCCTTTATAATCTTATTTTATCCATTTTGCTATATGGATACCAAAAATTTTTAACCAATCTCTACAATTTCACACTTATTTTTCTCTTCAATGTTTTGCTTTTATAAATGCTTGGATGAACATTCATAGAGTTATACTCATGATTTTTTAAAAAAAATTTTTAACATTTTTTAATTTTTGAGGGACAGAGGGAGAGAGAGAGTGGAGGGGGGAGAGAGAGAGAGAGAGAGAGAGAGGGAGAGAGACTGAATCCAAAGCAGGCTCTAAGCTGTCAGCACAGAGGCTGATGTGGGGCTTGAACCCACAAACCGTGAGATCAAAGTCAGATGCTCAACTGACCAAGTCACCCAGGTGCTCCTAATTATTTTACTAGCATAATTATCTAGCAATAGAATTCCTGATCTAAAACATATGTATATCTCTAAGACTTTGTGTGTGTGTGTGTGTGGAGGGGAGAGAGAGAGAGGATAGAGGAGAGAGAGGAGAGAGAGGGGAGAGAGAGGGGAGAGAGAGGGGAGGGGGAGGGGAGGGGGAGAGAAAGGGAGGGGGAGAAGGCTCCAGTCAGAGAGCGAGAGAAAATCCAAAGCAAACTCCAAGCCCAGCACAGAGTCTGCTGTGGGGGTTGATCCTACGACTATGAGATCACGACCTGAGTCAAAATCAAGANTTCCTGATCTAAAACATATGTATATCTCTAAGACTTTGTGTGTGTGTGTGTGTGGAGGGGAGAGAGAGAGAGGATAGAGGAGAGAGAGGAGAGAGGGGGGGGGGGGGGGGGGGGGGGGGGGGGGGGGGGGGGGAGGGGGAGAGAGAGAGAGAGAGAGAGAGAGAGAGAGAGAGAGAGAGAGAAAATCCAAAGCAAACTCCAAGCCCAGCACAGAGTCTGCTGTGGGGGTTGATCCTACGACTATGAGATCACGACCTGAGTCAAAATCAAGAGTTAGACGCTCAACTGACTGAGCCACCCAGGCATCCCTACATCTCTAAGGCTTTTGATCTTCCGCCAAACAGCCCTCCAAAAATCCAAACTATATAATTTAAGCTGCTCTTCTCTGAACTTGACAATAATATATATACAAACATATATATGTACATATTTCCTATATAGTCAATGTGAAAGATTATAAACTCGCATATGCCACTTTATTTGGCAGCCATTTGAGGATTATTAAAGTTACATATCTCTTCCTTTGTTTTTAGGTTATTTGAATGCTTCCATGTTCTTGACTTATTTTTCTGTGGGGTGTCATCTTTTTCTTACTGATTTGTGGGCACTTTTATAAAATGAGGATATTAAAAAATATATAACCCATCACTTCTCATACCTGTTGCTCTTTTTTCCCGGGTGTCATTCATCCTTCAATTTCCTTTAGTTTCTGGCTTTCATTTCAAAGAACCCTCCCTTCACCACTCCTGAAGCTTACATCGCTTACGTGTAGCTCGGCAGGGCTCACGTGTGAAAGGTGAAATTTATATACAATTGTTCTTTTTTCCAAAAATTGTATGAGTTCCGTTAATGTGTGTGACCCTGTGAAACTTGCAGAGATTTTAGTTGTATCATTTTCACAGTATTCTCTGTGCGCTAAAAAGCCTGAGACACTGATTCAATCAAGTGTGGCTTCTCTTATCCTCAGTGATTTTCCTTTCTGATGTGCCAGACGCCTAAAAGAGGCAAGAATTGATGTTCTCAATACTCAGGTGGTTTTGCCTCTCAAAATTATAAAATTTTAGGATTATTACACCAAACAGTTTAATGGGATATGTTAACTAAGTTGGCATAAAATGTACCAATAAATCAGTTTCCTTTTTGTAATTTCCATATTTAGTTTTGTTGAATTTTCCATACTTCTAATTTCCATTTTAATAGTTGATATAACTTGTTAATAATAAAAACTTTGTCACACGGACAATGTAACCAATAAAATGTAATGTATAACTAAACACAGAATTAATTTTTATTTTACATTTAAAAGCAAAAGCAATAATTCAGCTTTAATTACAACTTAGATTTCACATGCTCATCAAGTGTAATAGAGTATGCCTGGATTATTTAGCAAAAAAAAAAAAATTCTCATTATATGTCTGATAGTTTCTTCTTCACATATTTCAGTGCTGTGTTATTTGACATATAAGTGTACCTGACTATTATAGGCCCGCTGTAGATCTGCATTTTATCAGCATGAGTCACTTCAGTCCCATTATCTTTTGACCTGATTCAGTTTCATCCAGTAGTAATAGAGCTGTCTTGCTTTCTTTTCTTTTTTTTTTTTTTTGTATTTACATGGATGCCTTTAGCATCCATTTATTTATTTTTAAGGATTTTATTTTTAAGTAATCTCTACACCCAGTATGGGGCTTGAACTCACAACCCCATGACCAAGAGTCGTATGCTCTTCCGACTGAGACAGCTGGGGGCCCCTAGCATCCCTTTTTTAACCTTTTGATGTGATTTCATTCTCACTGTGGTACCTTCTTAAGCTGCTGAATCTTTTATAAACCACGTGATCTTTCTGTTTGTCCAACCCTATGAAGGAGGCCTATAATATCCAATATTAGGAATAAGGTGATTGTTGACCAGAAAGTATATGGTCCCCGTTCAAACTTGCCAGGCCCAGATCATGAGAAAAAGGAAAAATTTTAATTTACTGTAATTTTACCTTGTCAGTTTAGAGATCCAGGAGCCCTGGGGGGTTGGGAAAAAGCTATGGCCAGAGGCATCTGGACAGGAAACATCACCTCTATGGTCAAGAGTTTATGTTTGTCCTCACGAGCAAAAGTGCTCTGGGCGCCACTGTACCTGGCACGCGGCCCACAGAGGGGGCTCCCACTAACCGGGTGGGACCCTTGGAGAGCTCGCTTCCACCTGCAGGAATAGGTGTGACGCTGCCCCGGCCCGGGGCCCTCGTGCCACTGCTTCCCGGGCTGAGGGGCCCGGGCGGAGCCCCTCTTCCAAGGACACTCGCACATGGTGAGAGTCAGGACACCCCGTCCCTGATCCACTGTGTCCTGCAGAAGTCCCTCAGGGGGGCGCAGCTCTCTCTGAGGCAGTCTGGAGAGAGGCGCGTGATGGGGGGGGTGGGGAGGGGACTGCGGCCACAGCGAGCCCCTCCCGGCTTTCCCATGGCCCCCTCTCACCTTGCTCGGGAGGAAAGGGCAGCTTCCCAGCGTGCAGCGCCAGCTCCAAGGCTGAGTCCTGCTGAGTCACAAAAGGCTCGAGATTCAGGGGAAGGGACATGATATACTGCCCAATCTGAAACAGACGAAAGCACTTTCAGCCCACACTGACACAGACAGGTAATTACTTCTGCGATACATTCGTGTGAAGGCAGCCTGATCCTTCCAGTGTGCGGTAACACTGCTATGACAGTGCCTTAAGAAAAAATGAATGGGAACTTGCATGCATAGGACAGACTCATCCTCACACTAATGGCTTCACTATTTTTGGAATGCATTCAATGCAATCTCTACCTCAAATAAGGTAATGGATACCAACAACTACTTGTGTAAATATGTGTTATTACTATTCATAGATACAAAACCAGTAAGATGCTAAGGTCAGCAAGTGCATGGCCAAGCATGAGTTCAAATCCTGTCTTCTGGACTTGGCTGTGGGTCTTTCTCTTAGAAATGATCTAACTAAAAGAAGAAGGGAATTTTGTTGGGAAAAAAAGTTACTTATAAATTAACCTGGAGGGAAAATTGTCGTTTGCATAATACAAACTCTAGAAAATAAAGATCGACACCACCTTCTTGACTGGTGGGGAATCACAAAAGACAGGATTACAAGACATTTGGGAGGAGCCCAGAAATAATACAGTGTTTGTCCTGTGTTTGTCAGACACACAAGACTTCATCAGGGGTAGATGTCAGACACCAATTTCCATTAAAACTCATACCTGTTTTGTGTTTTAAGGTTAAGTATCTGGTTTTGTTTCAAAATGAGGTTAATTTTCAGGTTACACCAACATATTGTTTTTTTCTTAAATGGTTTTGAGTCTGTTATTGCTCTTGGGGGGTTCTATATTTATCCCATATATTTAAATTTATAGTTGATGCTGATTCTGCAAACTGAAAATCCAGGGATTACCCAAGATTTTCCCCTCTGGCCTCACACACACCAACATGGTGGCAGACCCCCAAAATCTCCCAACCCAGCTAGAGATTCCACACATTTCCAAACACTGAATGTGGGCTGGCTGTAATAAGTCTTAACATCCTATGGTCCACCACGTTAACAAAATAGTTTGTTCTCCCTTTAAGGAGGTACGCAGATGGTAAAATAAACGAGGTCAGCCTGTCTTCCTTTCATCTACTTAGTACAGTCTCTCATCAAACTAGACAAGTGGGCCACTTTCCTCACTAGTAACAACCATCACCATGTGAATTCATCATTGTTCCCCAAGGTGGGGGGAAGAGAAGGGTGCTGTGGGATTTCTCCCTTCTGATTCCATGCAGTACGTACTTCCTGAATCCTGACTATGTGCAAAGGGCCCAGGGAATGCTCCTGTGTTTGGTATACTTCTCACCTGTAGCCATGACCTTCTGGCTAAATCCACACAACCAGCTGTACTTGAAATGAAGCGTCAGGATCACTATACCTGGCATCTACATTGTTTTTCATTTTTCAAAGCATTTCTCCTATTTCGCCCTGCATAATGCTCGTGTGGCTCCCTGTGGGAGGGGCATTCGCCAGCGAGGCACAGTGTCGCTTAGGTGCCAAATTTCAACAATCTGACATCCTAAACTTCAACAAGTTGGCTTAGATGGTGGGGATTGCTGTGGTCCCTGGACAGATCCCACAGCTCCAAGTTTTTCTTGGGAGTTTTGTCAACATTCGTCTTTTGGAAATCAGTGCGGAAGGAAAGGGATGCTTACCATCGCGCCCAAGGATATTTTCCTACCGTTCTCACGTATACAGTAAATACTTCTTGAGATCCTGTTTGGGTAGGCTCAGTGACTCAGGAAAAATGAAGAGCTAGCTTTGTGGTCAGATGGACTTGGGCTTGAGTTCTGGCTCTACCACTGTGTGACCTTCCTGGTGTCATCATCTCTGACATGATGACCTCATACTTACTCCAAAGGGATGTGCCAAGGGTGAAATTAATATTGTGTGATACATGCATAAAGCACCTGGCGTCCAAACAGAGCGGCCACTGGATAAATGGCTTCCTTGCCCTTCTCTCTTCTTTACAGCTTTGCTGCTCGCCTGTGAAACACTACTGCCAACCAGCTCACACTGTTGTCGTCAAGATAAAATTCTGCCTAGTCCACGCGCTAACTCACGACATCGATAAAAGCCTAGCACTGAGCTTGCACACAATGTGGGTTCGATAAGTGTTCATTTCTGGAGTTCAGGTCACCAGCCCCCAAGTATGCTCCGTAACTCGGGGGGTCACGGCAGGTGGAAAAAGGCCCTCTCTTACTCCTCCACATCTGTTTCCTCGGGTTCCTTAATATCATTCAATAACCTCTCAAGTCCCTTCCAGCAACATCATTTCCTGAATCAATTTAGACTGTAATGCATACTGACTCAACTCTAAAAATAAGGTTATTGCCATTGGTTGTCAAAAGCTGCCCACATCTGAATAGTTTCATCAGTGCAGGTTATCGGGTAATGGCCTGGAAAACAGGAGGAAAGTGACTGCCAGCCTGAACTGGACACTGCTCCCAACTCACAGAGAGAACGATGCCATCCTCCTCGGTACTGCCAGTGGGATCACCACACATTTCTAAGCGTACAACAGTCACTGTTAAAATTCCTCTGTATCTCTTACAAAAGAGTCATAACTGACACAGCCATGGGTTCTAAAGTGACAGCATTAGGCAGAGATTGCTTGTCTCAGATTCACCCTTGGGGATCCCAGACGTCTCCCTTAGTGTGAGGTAACCATGGCTGGAGTATATTACCTCTACACGGTATTTGTCATGCACACTGACCTCTAAGAGCAACCGAGCTAGACTGCAGCAAAGAAGGAAAAAAAGGGCCACGTGCAGATGTCTGGGTGACTGTCAATTCCCAGGGGTGAATGGAGGAGGAGGAGGAAAGGACCCTGAACTGCTCTGCTCCCCTGTAGGGTCTATTCTGTTCTTTTTCAGTATTAAGCCTCTATAACTATTCTTAAGAGATTTATTTCCTGCTGTGAAATTCCACATGGAAGCACTCCACACACGGGCCGGTGCACAGTAGGTGCTCACTAAAACATTGCTGAGCTTGAATTCAGAACGACATGCACATTGTTCCCCTGAGAAGTCACAGAGAAGAATCTGGTCACCTGCTTCCTGTCCTCCCAAGTCAGAATTTCCTGTGTGTACTCACACTGTGATAGATACCCTTAGGTACTGGTCATGCCTCACATCGGGAGAGATGGAGGAGGGGCACGAACGTGTTTTGGTTTTGAAATCAGTTTGTTTTTCATCAGTTGATTTAATAAGGAAATCAGCTGCCTTTCCTTAAAGTCCTGGGTATGGATGGAAACTACTCAAAAGCATAGGTTCAGACAGCACGGATGTGGTAATGCCTACTTTCCCAGAAGGCCAGAATCAAAAGACAAGGCATGGTCTGCAATGCTCTAACTGCCCGCAGAGAAAAGCGCACAGAGCTCTTACATTGCTGATGTACTCGAGAGGGGTGAGGCTGAAGGTGGGCAGGTCATCGGTCAGGGTCTCGCCAATGCCTGCTGTGTTCCAGCCCTAGGGGAGGAAGGACAGACAGTGGTCAAGGTCACAGAAGCCAGGTGGCACGGGAAAGCACCACATGCTGGAAAGTACTTGAAGAATGCAGCATTCCTGTAAGTGTCTTTGCTTGGGGATGGCCTTGGGAATCATCACTATTCTACAGACCAAAGACTTCTCTTTAAATCATCACCTTGAGGGGCGCCTGGGTGGCTCAGTTGGTTGAGTGTCTGACTTTGGCTCAGGTCATGATCCCATGGTTCGTGGGTTCAAGCTCCGCATCGGGCTCTGTGCTGACAGCTCAGAGCCTGGAGCCTGCGTCAGATTCTGTGTCCCCCTCTCTCTCTGTCCCTCCTATTCTCACACTCTGTACCTCTTTCTCTCTCAAGAATAAATAAGTGTGCGGAGCCTGGGTGGCTCAGTCAGTTAAGTGTCCGACTTCAGCTCAGGTCATGATCTCATGGTTTATGGGTTTGAGCCCTGCATCAGGCTGTGTGCTGACAGCTTAGAGCCTGAAGCCTGCTTCGGATTCTGTTTCTCCCTTTCTCTCTGCCCCTCCTTCTCTCAAAAATAAACATTAAAAAAATAAAAATAAATAAAAAGAATAAACGTCAAAAAATTGTAAATCATCACCTTGAAACCTGCCAGAGAGAATAATCCTCTCTCTCTCTCTCTCTGTGCACTCCTACAGATCTATAAAACAGGAGCTCCTATCTTCTCAATAGAACTATTTGGTGGGAACCGATCCCAGTTGTTGCTCCCACTCAGACTGTAAAGAGCTGGGTAGCCTGGGGTCTGAGTGCTTCCACTGGGTAGGCACTACAGCGTGACAGCTGCTGGGTGTAGGTGGCCTCACTAACCCCGGGGTCTTCAGCCCCACACCCTCCACAGAGACCACATGTAAATCCCTATCTTGGGAAGCCCTCTCCGGCTGCAGGAGTATCCAAACCACACTTACTGACACTACTTAACTGCTTTTATTCCCAGCTGCCCTCTGGACCTATTTCTCAACTGATTCAGAGCTCAGAGGGAAAGGGATGGGAAGAACCTCCAAACCCCACCAGCTGCCTTTCTGTCCACTTTGTGACTCCTGGGTCATTGGGGGAGATGCTCTTCTCTCGACATTTAAAGTGGGAATGTCTCTGGTGTCACTGAGTGAGCCTCCCCAGTGTTCTCTCCAGAGCCAGACATGTAACCAGCACGCACGTGGTTACGCAGTTCATACAGAACCTGGCACGCCTTCACACAGACATCTAGTTTCTTCATTCCAGCCTGAGTCACCCCAAAGCCAGCCTGAAAACAAGGCCCTCTCTGGCTGCGCTCCTGGAGCGGCTCCCGGGTCATGGTGGAGTTGCTCTCTGCAGCCACCTGATGCCCGATCTGGTTGCTTGATCCTTTAAGCAGCGTTCCGGGAATGTAATGACCACGTCCACCCCTGGGCTCCCGGCCCAGGCTGAGCCTCCGCCGCCCTCCTCACGTCCCCTAGCATCGGCTCATTTTCTTTGCTTGAGACCAGTTCTTTTTCTTCCCCACCCCCGGCCCTAGTTTTCCAAGCTCCTTGCTCTTGCTTGAGAATCCTCTTCTGTTTCAAAATAGCCTGCTTTCCTTCAGTTAGCTCCCACCCCACTGAGAAGACACACTCTGATCACCTACATGTACTGAGGGCCCATGAAGCACAGAGCCTTGTGTCCTGCTTGGCAAAGAGGAGACAAAGATGTGTGAGACTTGGTCCTCACTCTCCAGAACCTCCTTGGGAAACCAAGACCCCCGATATGCTCCCACGCTATAATCCCCATCGGCCCCCCGCCGCCAATGCGCACACGCTCAGGCTTCCACTTGGGAGTTCTCAGGGGCAGATGAAAGGTTTGCTACAGTAAGAGCTCCAAGGAGCAAGGGCTCCAGCTGATTGTGGAAGGAGCCGGGATGCCTGAGGTGCACAGAGGGAAGACTGGAAGAAGAAGGTGTGGCCCTGAACTGTGGGCTAAGAAAGGGCTTTATTTTCAACAAATAAATTGCAACAGTATGAGTGAGAGAGAAGAGAGAAGGAGAGGGACAGAGGGAGGGGGAGGGCCCGGAAGGGTGATCTGTAGTTCATAAAAGACACACCAAGCAATCCCATTGTGCAGAATGAACCCGGGTCCTGATTCAAACAGTGAAATTATGACCTTTATGACAACTGGAAATTTGAACACTGATTACTGACATTAAGGAATCATTTCTGAGTTAGGGGTGATTATGCCACTGTGACTATTGTCATAGTTGCCCCACTTCACAAAGCCTATGTAGGAGCGATGGCCAGGACACAACCATGCTGGACTGGGGTGATGAGGACATGGGGTTCAGCAGACTCCTCTCCCCACTCTGGCACATGTGTGAACACTTCCCTAATAAAACGTTTCTTAAGAGACTCTTACACTGGGTCTGGGGAGCCAGGCAAGGGTCTGAGTGGGGGGCACATGGTCAGAGTGGTGCTTTGTGAAGATTAATGCAGCACCTCAGGAGGACTGAGGGTAGGGAGACAGATCAAAAGCTCAAGGAACAGCTGAGAGACGAGGAGAAACCCACCGGGGCCAGAGGCCATGGAAACAGACAGGAGACATCTTTAAAAAGAAGGAACAGGGGCGCCTGGGTGGCTTAGTCGGTTAAGCGTCCGACTTTTGCTTAGGTCATGATCTCGCGGTTCGTGGGTTCGAGCCCCGCATCGGGCTCTGTGCTGACTGCCAGCTCAGAGCCTGAAGCCTGTTTCAGTCTGTGACTCCCTCTCTCTCTGACCCTCCCCTGCTCACGCTGTCTTTCTCTCTCTCTCCTAGAAATAAAATAAATAAATAAATAAAAAATAAAAAGAAGGAACAATGCAACATGGTGGTGAGATTATTGGCAAAGAGCAGAGGCGAGAGGGCAGAGACATGAAGGCCAGGCAGGCAGGGGGCTGGGAGGGGGGATGGAGCGAGGGCTGAGCTGTGGGGAAAGGGCACCCAAGGGACCCACACTGCGGGCTAAAGGCCCCAGAAGGTTCCCTGAGGAGGTGTGAGGAGAGCGGGCGGGCAGAGGGCAGAGGGCAGAAGAGCCGGAGTGGTTTTCAAGAAGGGCAAGTGGACCGAACTGGGGAGGTACTTAGCAAGTTAGAGCGACAGGGAAATGCTGTAGGTTATTTTTTAATTGTTCAAAATTTACTTAAAATTTCCTTCAAACGGGCTTTTTCTATCCATCTGTCACCAGATAATGTGGGCAAACGTCAACAGCCTATTTGGAAATGGAATACAGTGTTGGTTTATATTCTTGAAAGGTAAAAGGGTAATACAATTTACCGGCAAACATTAAAAACAAACACTGAATGACTAGGGTTTCATTTTCAAATCCTTAAGGCCGCAGTGTTTGCCTTTGTGTTGTGTGCTTTCCTGCTGGCAGCTCTCAGAGAGCAGTTCCTCCTAACCTCCCAGCGGCCTGCCTGAGCCGCCCGCCTCCGTCCCAGCACCCGGGGGTGCTGCGGCAGCAGGTGAGATTCAAGCAACCGGGGGCCCTACGGTAGTATGGGCTCTGGAATACAGAAGTAGGGGAAAAGAGCAGAGGGAAGAATGGAGCTTCCAGAACAGAAGGTCAAGATTGTAGGATTAGGGGTGGGGGCATGAGTGACCCAGGTGAAAGGGATCAAGAGCACACTTACTGCTATGAGCTCGGAGTCATGTACAGAACTGGTGAATTGTTATACTGTATACCTGACACGTAACACTGTATGTTAATTGTACTGGAATAAAAAAGAGGTTAAAAAAAAAATCCTGGTTGTTTTAAAAAAAAATTTTTTTTAATGTTTTATTTTTAGTTTTGAGAGAGAGACAGCATGAGCAGGGGAGGGTCAGAGAGAGAGGGAGATACAGAATCTGAAGACAGGCTCCAGGCTCTGAGCTAGCTGTCAGCACAGAGCCCCACACAGGGCTTGAACCCATGAACTGTGAGATCACGACCTGAACTGAAGTCGTACGCTTAACTGACTGAGGCACCCAAGCATCCCAAAAAGATCCTGGTTCTTAACATTAACATGAATTGCTTGTTTTATCCCACATTAACCATGAAATAGTTTCAAAATAGCTATACTGATATTACTACCAACAGTACAATTACTAGATGAAGTTAAAAAAAAAAAGATTTTGAGCTCTAAGGAAATAAAAATAGGGGTCCCTGGCTGGCTCAGTCAGTGGACTATGCAACTCTTGATCTCAGGGTTATAAGTTCAAGCCCCATGCTGGGTACAGAGATTATTTAAAAAAAAAAAAAAAAAAAAAAAGATGGGGGCACCTGGGTGGCTCAGTCGTTAAGCATCCAAGTCTTGGTTTCGGCTCAGGTCATGATCTCACAGTTGGTGAGTGCAAGCCCACATCTGGCTCTGCACTGACAGTACTAAGCCTGCTTGGGATTCTCTCTCCCTCCCTCTCTTTCCGCCCCCACCCCCACTCAAAATAAATAAACATTTTTTAAAACTTTTTAAATGTTTATTTATTTTTAAGAGAGGGAGAGACAGAGTGTAAGCAGGGGAAGGGGCAGAGAGAGAGGGAGGCATAGAATGTGAAGCAGCTCCAGGCTCTGGGCTGTCAGCACAGAGCCCGACGTGGGGCTCGTACCCATGACCGTGACATCATGACCTGAGCTAAAGTCGGACGCTTAACTGACTGGACCACTCAGGCACCCCCTGCCCCCAATTTTTTTAATAAGAAAAGAAAAGAAAAGAAAAGAAAAGAAAAGAAAAGAAAAGAAAAGAAAAGAAAAGAAAAGAAGAAAAGGAAAGGAAAGGAAAGGAAAGGAAAGGAAAGGAAAGGAAAGGAAAGGAAGGAAAGGAAAAAGAAAGAGCGAAAGAAAGAAAGAAAGAAAGAAAGAAAGAAAAGAAAAGAAAAGAGAAAAGAAAAAAAAGAAAAAAAGAAAAGAAAAGAAAAATAATAAAAGCAGCGAGATCTGGAGGCTGGGGAGGGGGGTGGGAAGGATGAAGAATGCTAAACCCCTCCTCTTTCAGAGCAGCACAGTCAGTATCAGCAGCTACCTGAGAGGCAAACGTGACTAACCAAAAACAATGACCCCAGGCTCTTGATGGTTTTCATAATCTTTTCTCAGCAACTTTAGAGAGATCTTCTGGGTGCTGACATCTTTTGTGGGGAAGAACCGATTATCTCAGGCCCCACAATTCCTTTGGTTTCACTTAGTTTATCTTCCTTTTCTAGTCACATTCAAATTAATGTCACACTATATACATTCTGGCTTGAAAGAGCAGCACGTGCAGGACAGTGGATCTCTTCTACGGACCCATCTATCCACTGGTGACTGCCCAGCCTCCAACTTGGGGCAGCAGGAGGAGTCTGGGTTGATGAACACCACACCCTCCCAGTGCTTTCTACCTCATGGGATTTTGAAGGGATTTATCGCTTTTTTCGTTGTACTTTCCTATACTGCCTGAATTTCTGAAAATGAGCATGTGCCATTTTTACTTTAAAAAACTGTCATTCCTACTAAAAAAATGAGAATCACAGAGAAGAAAGCCAACACTTATTACACATGTACTCTGTGGCCGCTGCTGGCTAAATTCTATCATAATACAAATCCTCACAGATCTACATGGTCAGAATCAGCTCGGGCCCATTGGACGAGGACAGGAGACTCTCACAGAAGCCACGCGATCCAGAAGGACCGGCCGCAGACCTCACTCCCACTGCGCTGTGACAGGCCTCTCCTCCAGTTCTACCTCCCCACCCACAACAGAAACACGGAATCTGACCGGGGGGGTCCCTTGGCGTTTGGCATGGAAAAGTCATAAAGGATGAAAAATCAGGGAATTTCAGAACTCTGAGATCATGTGGTCCAACCCCTTTTTTCACGGATGGGGGTTCTGAGACCCAGCGACTTATCCCAGGTCAGACAGCGAAGAAGCGAGCGGCTCTTGAGCCCTGGTCTCATAGGCTTTCTGGGGGGTGGCAGGAAGTAAGGAACGTGTAATCACACCCTCCCAGTTCTTGCTGCTTCCTGAAAGATCTCTTGGTTATTCAAGGTCCATAACTGGACCTTTCTCAAAATGCTATCTTTGAAAACAAAACAAAGCTGAATCCATACACCCTGGAGCCATCACTGAGAAAGGCTGGCGAAGGCGCTGTTCTAGAAATCCAGGTGGCAGTGATGACACGGGCCCGAGGGACTCAGAGCCAGTGGGGAAGCTGTGACGGATTGGTGATCCCTTGAAGGGAGTCCGGACAAGTAAAACAGAGGGGGCAAGGCCAGGGAAGGGAGGCGCTCTGGGAACAGCCAAAAAGAAAAAGCGTTGAGGGCAGAAAAGAGCAGAGCCCCCAAAACTCTGGCAAAATCACCAGATCAGATCTGGGGAGGCCCTCTCCTGGGTGAAGTTCCAGAACCAACGCCCCTAGAAAGACCGCAATCTTGGGGGATGAAGAGCTGCTGTGACCTGCCCCAGCCTACCCAAGGGCACAGGCTCTCCCTGCCTTCTCCCCGACAGGGCACAGCTATGCTGCTCCAAATGGCACAAGTTAATCAAGCAATAATAATAATCCCAAGAAGCAGTCTGGAAAGCAAGCATCATAGTGACTCCAATTAAGATAAGAAATTCTTGCTAAGCAGCGAGTTGGGCAAGGGAACAGTGAGTCTGTATGGTGGGCCTTTTGCAGCCAGGAGAGCGGTTCCTCCTAAAGCTCCCAGGGGGGTGGGGGAGGTGGGGCGGTGCCCACACTCAAAAATGCTTGGGAAGGAGGCAGCACCCAGGGGGGGTGTCTGCCGTCAGTGGGAAACTCACGTCCATCTTGGAAACGAGCAGCAGCTGGTGTTTGATGCGCAGGAAAACGGAATCGAAAGCCAGCTGGTGGGCCTGCTGGTTAAGTCGAGTCAGGGCCATGCGAGACGCAGACAGCAGGTTATGGTTACTCGACCCTTTCTCCTAAGACAAGGAAACACAAAAGGCTATTAGGGCCTGGCTCTAACCAAGCTTTTAGCTAGTTCAACATTCTGAAAAGCCACTGAGAGGAAAACAGCGAGGGGCAGATCCATACAGCCGGGCTGTGCCCCAAGCCCAGTCGTGCCCCGGCACCCGCTTCGGAACATGCTGGATTACAGGGGTGCAGGCTCCACCTCAGGGCTATGGAGTCCAGCAGGGGTGTGGCCCAGGAAGCAACGTTTTAAACTCACTTCTCCAGGTAATTCTGATTCTTGTGAGCTAACACAAGCTGATGTAGGAAAAATTAACCAATGAGTGTCCCTCGGGGATAGAGGCAGAGGGAGAAAATGGTTAAGTGTCAGGTATTGACAAGAGTGAGAACCAGAAGCCTGGTTCCCAGCGAGGTCAGCTCAGTTACGCCTGGCTGTACAGCAGAGCACGCACAGCCTGTACAAGTCCCAAGGAATTCCAAACCGCCTGAGAAAATACAGAGATGGAAAATGTAACCCTGGTTTTGTTATTATAAATGAACCGATTACAACAAACCATATCAGATCAGCAATAAAGATAAACAGAACTGCCTTCACCTAATCACGGAAGCATGGATGAATGAGCCAGGACAAGTGTTTTAAGAAGTGTTTGTCAAGCTCACATGCAGCCAGCTGCTGTGCCAAAGTGCAGCTTTGAGACCGTGTGAGGCAACAAGGAAGCCTCAGACGTGTCCAGAGGGTCGCTGTGCAGTCATCCCCAGAGCTCAAGTCCTGGCAGAACACTCTGAGGTTGCATTTGGAAACAGCGGTGTCTATTTGAATCTGAACAGGGGATGGGGAGATGGTTCTGGAAGTGATGTCGCAGCCTGCCTAGGATCCTGGGGCCATTTGAAAGTTGCTGTGCGGCTCATTCCATTTGCTGAGAAGTTCTTCTGTCCCTGGGCCCTAAGGAGCCCAAAGTTCAGAGTCAAGGGCAGCATTGTGGAAGATGAAGTAAGAGCTTAACTAAAGGACAGCCCAAAGGGAACACGTTCCCCTGGGTCCTCCTGCTGCCATGAGGAGAACTTGCCCTGGAGGTGCTCCTGGCTTTTCTGTACCCCTCGCCCCTCCCCTGGGGAAGAGGCTTGACTTCCCTCATGGAAGGGCCGGGGGCCTCCTCTGTGGCTCCTGCCCACCAGCGGGCAGGACACACTCTGGTCCCCTCTCTGCCATTAACAGGGGACCGTCCCTGCACTGGAGCCAGGGGCTACCTGTCCCGCCCGTCCCCATGAAAGTCTGACTACAGCAAACCCATCTGAAGCCACGCTCTCCCACTTGCCTTTTGTCAGTAATAGAGCTCCACTTACCCAACTCCTACACCTATGTATCCACTGGTTCTGACCCAGTTTTGTTTATTAGCTCCATAAAACTTGACGTAAGTGAGACAGAGAAGTGGCCATGGGGCACCCCGCAGACCGCGACCACCCCACAGAGCCAGAAAGCCTGGATCAGGGAAAGGGTGACGAGAGAAAAGCTTCCATTTGCAAGAATGCCATCCATCTGGTCTCATACCTTGAGGGTATAAAGTATTTCCATTAAACTGGCATATTCAGCAGGGTTATCTTTCTGGAGGTAATTATACTCTTGCCATGGGTTCCTGGCAGAGCTCTTCCTGTCTGTCAAGATGCTGTCCTGAAAACCGGCCAGGTTCCGAGGGCTGTAGGAGTCGGAGAGATACTTGCCAGCTGTGGACAGGATCCTGAAATAAAAGTGATGACCATTATGCCCTGAGCTACCTGTGGGGAACTTTCTCCTTGGGGCATTCAGCTTGCTCCTTACTAAAATCCCAGGATACACTTTTGTGGCAGATGGATCTCGGGTCCGTTTTATAAGGAAAGGAAGACATTCTTCGTTGCTGAGGACTGAGCTGCATGTCAGGTGCACACGAGACACTGGGTGGTTTCATTTCCTATTTAACACTCAGACCACTGGAATATGCCACCTTCCTCATGTGGCACACGGCCTACAAGGGGCAGCGCTCAGTCTACTACAGTCTGGAATACCATATGTGTTCTGTGCAGCCCTTTCTCGCTCTGTGACCATCACTGTTTGGACAAAGCTACAGGGAGCCACCAGTGCCTCGGCCATAGCAGCACTAGACACAGGGGAGGGAGAGCCGGTCCCAGGACAGCGGTGGCAGCAGCTCGAAGCACGCTTCCAGCCACAGGACGCACTGTCACACGGCTGGGCCGGAGTGGCGTTTGTCTTCACTGGTCCTGTACACTTCTGTGGCTTAGGTGCCACACAGAGATCTGCTGAGAGAAGCAGGCGCTTTCCATTGCTGAGAAGGAACAAGGGCCAGTCTCTAGGGCTTAAATCTCTATCTTCTGTCTCCTCGAGGACGGCCTTCCCTGATGGGTGCTGCCAATCCTCCGCTGTTTCCCCTGAGCCCAGCTCTACTGTCCGTTCTACACGTCTGAATGTGCACAGCACTGCGTGAGCACATGCCACCAGGGGGAGAGACACTGCATTACATCCCAAGTGCAGCTAACTCCCTGACTCCTCCTGCACCATAGTTTCTCATGAACGAGAACTGCCACGGACTCAGCAGCTCTTAGGCTGCATGTGCTTTAAAACAAAACAAAGCAAAACCAAACCAAACCAAAAACAAGTCCAGGGGCTTGGGTGACTTGGTTAAGCCTCTGACTCTTGATTTCAGCTCAGGTCATGATCTCACAGTTTGTGGTTCGAGTCCACCATCAGGCTCTACGCTGACAGAATGGAGCCTGCTTGGGATTCTCTCTCTCTTTCTCTCTCTCTCTCTCTCTCTGCCCCTCTCCTGTGCATGCACATACTAAGAACTAAACATTTTTTAAAAAAATAAACAATTAGAAAACAAGTCCAAGGAGCCTGTCAAGGAATGTGTGTACTTGTAAGCAAATGGCAGGGACAGGCCCTTCCTTGGGAACCAATGCCACACAAGCAGCCGCCCGCCGCTGCCACTAAAAAGTTAACAGTTTCCCCTGGTGCTTGAACTACAGGTAATTTCGGCTGGGTCTTTTGTCTGCCAAACTGTGGCCTGTTCCTGGCACCCTTACTTCCAAGTCTTCACTATCTGTGGGGACAAAATAGGGGTTTTCCCCCCTGAATTCCTAGCACCGAGCACGGGGCCTGGCCCATGGCAGGGGACGCTGGGTTTGGCAAGCAGGAAGTCAAGAGCTGCCCTCTGGGGAATCAGCTCCCCTTGGCAGGGTCACAGCCATACGTGTCTCCACTGTCGGCTGGGGGAACCGAAGAAAACCAGATATGTCAGGAATGTTTAAGTATTAAAGATCGCAGTTTAAAATGTCACCATAGTGAGCTCTACAGTAAGAATCAAATCTTTAAAAAAAAAAAAAAAAGTCAGAATAAATACAGTTCCAACCCCAAGGAATGAATGGTATCTTTTCCTCCCCAGCCTCCTCTTCATCTAGACACCATTAAATCATTTAATCATCAGACTCTGACTTCCTAGGACATGTGTTTGCTAGTGCTATGAACTAAACCTTACTAAAATGAACACTTGATTTCTTCACTCATGAAGAAATGTCTTCTCATCATTGGAATCGGCTATAAGTCAGTCTTGGGAACGTCAGAGCATTAAACAGGCCTCACCCTCAGGGAGCTCAGAGATTAATGGGGGAGTCCAGCCTCCACCGACGTGCCAGGGGAATGCAGTCAATATGCACAAAGGAGGGAGAGATGAACGTTTACTTCATCTGCTTCCTCAACTCATTTCCTTTCATGAAAAGCTGTTACCCACTTCTTCACAAGCCATGGAAACCTGTACATTTACATGGGATCCCCCCAAACAGGACTTCCCACTGAACTAAGACCTCATCCCAGTGAAAACACCCCTGTGCCAAAGATTAAGTGGGGGGTTGCCGTCAACATGCAGAGGGGGCGTAGCAATCTCCGTTATCTCACCCAACCTGCCCAGCGCAAGAGACAGCCTTCCAGTGGCACTCAGTCCATAAATCACAAAATGATCCCTTTCTGCAAGGAGGGGATCTTAAGAGCCCAAAAGCCAATGCCACTCTTGTCGCTGAAGTCATCTGGCGTGTTTCGAGCTACTGCCTCTGCCACCCAGTGCGTGGCGGGGAGGAGTGGTCCTTGGGCCAGTGGAGGCTGGCCTCCCCAGGTGAGACTGACAGCAGATAAGATAAGCTTTATAGGCAGCTGCCACGCGAGCGGCCTCCCTGATGGGAACACAGATGGCGACTGTCGCGATTTTCCCTTCCCAGGCTCAGTGCTTTTAGAATGACATCGCCTCTCAGAGAGGCTCCCTTGGATCTGCCCAGTCTGTTATCATCTCACTGCCAAAGCTCAGTCCAGCCTTTCAGCTTCTCTGTGCTGCAAAATGCAGGTCGAGAGAGAGGCTCATCCTTTATCTACCATGTCCCCATTCAGTTTCCTAACCAGATTCTTCTTTTCCTTCTAGAATGTAATATTCACTTTCATTAAAAGATTAAGGAAAACCTATGTATCCTGATATGGAAAGGTGTCTGCTATACAGATGCAGAAAAGCCCAAGTTCAAGGAGAAACGCTAATTTGTGAGAAAGACCATGTGAAGGTGACACACTCCAGACAGCTGAGCTGACATCCAGGTTCAAATCACGGCCCCATGGTTCCATGACCTCAGACACAACTATTTCCACAGATAATTCATTTTTACTTAAGTTATTACCTGTGCCAGACTCATGCCTCAATGTCTCTTCGTCTGTAAAAACGGGGATAAGAACAGTACCTACCTCTTTGGCCCACTGAGAGGATTAATGACTTAACTTCAGGTAAAGTCCCCAATGTCAGAGCTCAGTAAATATTATAGGCAGGGGGAAATGTTAATAATGTTTCTTCTAGAGAGGATTTTTAGTGTGAATAGAGTTTTCATTTTTATTTTGCATACTTGTGAACTGTTTTAATTTTCGCAATACTCACTACTGAAATTAATAAAATAATAAGCTACATGCCTTTCTTCTAAATACATAAATGTTACATATTCAGCTCTTCCTAGGAGCCCTCTGGAAACCCAGACCCACTCGCCCTCCACCACAGGCTTCCCCATTGTGTGTGCATGCGTGCACATTGGCACGAGTGTGTGCAGAGGGTTAATGGTTACTGCATTTACATTATCTACACACAGTCCACTACATGCCTGGGGTGCCCGGCGTTTATCCATTCCAGGAACTCACATCATTTCTGTGCTGGGCCATTTGGGAGTTACAAACAATTGCCCCTCCTAGCCGGCCACAGGACACCTGCCCAGAATGAAAAGGACTGTGGGAGACCGTGGGTGGGCTCAGAAATGAAAGAAGACAGGAAGTGGCTACAAAACAAAACAAAACAAACAGCTGACAGAGTACTGACCCTGTTCTTCAGAAATTCACTCTACTTCCCACAGGGTGGGTGTGTTGTTGTGTACACCCCACACCAACCGCTCCCCTCCCCCACCAGCTTTCATTTCACAGTGGACCACGGCCAGAGATTCCCTCCCACCCAGACTGCTTTAGGACAATACGGAATTACCCCAGAAAGAGGTGATGGGGCTGCTGCTGGGGCCTCACACAACTGTACGAAACAGACTTCTTCCCCTAGCTCCTGGAGAACACAGAAATCAGCTGTCCCAGTGGCTGATTTGGCTAAATGGGAGATTTAGCTAGAAGAAAGAAGGAAGGAAATTTGGGAGGCTGGAGCCCTCTGAGGGGAAAACTCATCTGAACGAGGCCACTGCAGGGCAATGGAAAACCCTGGCAGGTATCAGAATAGAGAAAGGGGTTGGGGCGAGGGGAGAGACACGTTTGCGAGGGCTGACCCCAGAAACCCTCCAGCGGCCCACACCACCCTCACCACCCTCGGCAGCACAGAATTCTGCTGCAGAACCCGGAAGGCTGGCTGGATTAATCCCGATTCTACGGGCTGCCCCAGGTGACTTCACTGCCACCTATAATGCTGTTTCTATGGAGAAATTTATTGTGAGTCCCAATAATTAACTTATAAACAAGCAGTGGGAACCCAGCCCAATTATAATTTGGAGACAACACGTACTGTCTCCTCATTTGGGCTGAAACTTCTACATCTAACCAAAACTTTGTGACCATTGACAGACAGCTCAGAGCCTTGCCCTTTTTAGGTGCTCAGTAAATGTTTAATGATGACAATAATGACACCTTATATCTAGGTACAGACAGTCCTCAAGCTGTGTGGCTTCCAGATTTGACCATATGTTGTGAGTGCTGTGCTGTGCGTTCTATCCGGTTCTTCCCAAGCCAAGAACCTGGGGACTCGCCCACAGCCCTCGCCTACCTGTTTGCTAGCTGCTGCTCGAAGTCCCCACATTGCCGCAGGAGCTCGCCACAGGTGGCTATTATCCTAAACAAAACAAAAAGCACTTCAAGTTCAAGTATCTGGAATGTTGACATAGGACAAACATTGTCTCATTCATAAAAATTCTAACTATCCACTCCTTTGGTGGTGCTGGGTTCTGGAAAGTGGTTAACCATTTGACAGTCTACCTGACGTGTTTCACTAATTAGTAATTCATGGAGAAGGTAAAAGTGTGCTTCTAATGCCCTCAAGTCATAGGCCTCTCTGCTTTGAATCATACTTCTGTCTACAGTTCTCAAATGATCTTACATTTCCAAAATACTGAGGAGCTCTGGGACTTTGTCCTTAAGAAAGCGGGTTGGAAACACTTCATATCTAAAATTTAAAAACGAGGGGGGCACCTGGCTGGCTCAGTGGTAAAAGCATGTAACTCTTGATCTCGGGATCGTGAGTTCGAGCCCCATATGAGGTGTCGAGCTTACTTACTTAAATAAATTTTTAAAAACTTTAAAAGAGAAAATAAAATTTAAAAATCAACAATACATTTAACAAATCAGTCACAACAATCCAATGGGATTTATTCCCAGGATGCAGTAGTGATTCAATATTTGCAAATCAGTCAGTGTGATATATCACATCAACAAGAGAAAGGATAAAAATCACGCTATCAGGAGCGCCTGAATGGCTCAGTCAGTTAAGCATCTGACTCTTGATTTTGGTTCAGGTCTTAATCTTGCAGTTCATGAGATGGAGCCCCACATCAGGCTCTATGCTCACAGTAGGGAACCTGCTTGGGATTCTCTCTCCCTCTCTCTTTGCCCTGCCCCTACTCATACTCTCTGCCTCTCAAAATAAACATTTAAAAAAGTCATGTGATCATAAGATGCAGAAAAATCATCTGACAAAGTATAACATCCATTCATGATAAAAACTCTCAACAAAGCAGGTTTAGAGGGAATATAACCTCTACATAATGAAGGCCATCTATGAAAACCCACAACTAATACCCTCAAAGGTGAAAAATGGAGGGGAGCTTTTCCCTTAACTAAGGTCAGGAAGAAGACAAGAATGTCCGCTCTCACCACTGTTATTCAACATACTACTTAAGTCCTGGCCTCAGCAATTAGGCAACAAAAAGAAACAGAAGGCATCCAAATTGGTAAGGAAGAAGTAAAACTTTCACTATTTGCAGATGATACAATATAGAGAAAACCCTAAAGAGTCCACCAAAAAACTGCTAGAACTGATGAATGAATTCAGTAAAGTCAAAGGATACAAAATCAATGTACAGAAATTTGTTACATTTTTTACACTGATAATGAAGAAGCAGAAAGAAAAATTAAGAAAATAAATTTATTTACAACCAAAAATAATTACCAAAAATAATAAAACACTTAGGAATAAACTTGACCAAAGAGATTAAAGACCTGTACTTTGAAAACTGTAAAACACTGATGAAAGAAATTGAAGGTGATACAACCGGAAAGATGTTCCATGCTCATGGACTGGAAGAACCAACATTGTTATGTTAAAATGTCTGCACCACCTGAAGCAATCTATAGATTTGATGAAATCCCTATCAAAATACCACCAGCATTTTTCATAGAACTCCAACAAATAATCTTAAAATCTGTATGGAACCACAAAAGACCCAAATAGCCAAAGCAACCTTGAGAGATATGAACAAAGCTGGAGGCATCACAATACCAGATTTCAAGATAGACTACAAAGCTGTGGTAATCAAAACAGTATGGTGCCGGCACAAAAACAGACACAAAGTTCAATGGAACAGAACAGAAAGCTCAGAAATAAACCCACTCATATAGGGTTAATTAATCTACAACAAAGGAGGCAAGAATAGACAAAGGAGAAAAAATAAATAAACCTCTTCAACAAATGGTGTTGGAAAAACTGGACCATCAGTTGGACCACTTTCTTACACCACACAAAACATAAAACTCAAAATGAAAGCTTAAATATGAGACCTGAAATCATAAAACTTCTGGGAGAAAATACAGGCAGTAATTTGTTTGACATCGGTCATGAAAACAGTTTTCTAAACATGTCTCCTCAGGCAAGAGAAACCAAAGTGAAATTAAACTATTGGGACCACACCACCAAAATACAAAGTTTTTGTTTTTGTGAAGGAAACCATCAACAAAACAAAAAGGCAAACTACTAAATGGGAGAAGATACTCGCAAAGGATATATCCAAAAAGGGGTTAATATCCAAAGTATATAAAGAACATATACAACTCAACACCAAAAACCCAAATAATTCAATTAAAAAATGAGCAGAGAACTGAATAGACATTTTTTCCAAAGAAGACAGACAAATGGTCAACAGACACATGAGAAGATGCTCACCATCACTCATCAGGGAAATGCAAATCAAAACCACAATGAAGTATCACCTCACACTTGTCAGAATGGCTACAATCAAACATATAAGAATAAGGGTCGCCTGTGGGGCTCAGTCTGTTAAGCGGCTGACTTTGGCTCAGGTCATGATCTCACAGCTCGTGGGTTTGAGTTCTGCATCGGGCTCTGTGCTGACAGCTCAGAGCCTGGAGCCTGCTTCGCATTCTATGTCTCCCTTTCTCTCTCTCTGCCCCTCCCCTGTTCATGCTGTGTCTCTCTGTCTCTCAAAGGTAAGTAAATGTTAAAAAAATAAATTTAAAAAATATATAAGAATAAGTATTGGCAAGGATGTGGAGAAAAAGGAACCCTCCTGTACTATTGGTGGGAATGCAACTGGTGAAGCCAATGTACAAAACAATATGGAGCTTCCTCAAAAAATTAAACATGGAATCACTATATGCTCCAGTAATTTCACTACTAGCTATTTATCCAGAGACAAAAATACTAATTCAAAAGATATACTCACCCCCATGTTTACTGCAACATTATTTACAATACCCAAGACATGGAAGCAATCCAAATGCCCATCCATAAATGAATAAAGTGTATTTGGTATATATATACATTTACATATGCATATACATATACGCGTATACATACACAATGGACTATTAGCCATAAAAAAGAATGAAAAATCTTGTCATCTGCAATGACATGGATGGATCTAGTGGGTATTATGCTAAGTGAGATAAGTCAGTTAGAAAGATACCACATGATTTCACTCATGTGGAATTAAAAAAAAACAAACAAAGAAAAAAAGAGACAAATAAACAGAGTCTTAAATACAGAGAACAAACTGGTGATTGCCAGGGGAGATGGGTAGAGGGACAGGTGAAATAGATAAAGGGGATTAAAAGATTATATTTAAATTTAAAAACCAAAATTTATTACTTAGTATTTATTAGATGTCTGCTATTTACAAGGCAAAGAAAACTACTTTGATACTAGAAGTTATCTCTCTGATCACATGAAAGGCAGATGAAGATTAATCCATTTGGCTTCTCAGAGATACGCCTGAATGACCATCATACCTGTATTTAATAATCCTTTAATTTCAAGTAATTTTATGCTGGGCCTCAAACTCCAGGGGCTGAGTCCTTCAACACCAAACTATAATGTCAGGACAAATCCAAGGATTAAAAACATCTCAGCTCTAGTTAATTTTTAACTTTCTCTAAAAGTGCCTATCATCACCAGGGTATCTAGGCATTCCATCATAAGAAAGGTTTATGAGAAAGTGAAATATTCCACCTTTCACTTGCCTCAGGTGCAACAGAATAACCTTGTACCTAGTATTTTCTGGTACACCAAACCACCAAAGATGATAGGGGATACAGTTAGCATCTAGAACATCAAATTTCATCCCCCCAAAATAAAAGTCCAGATCAGAGCCCATGAAAAGATTATCCCTGGGAGGCCCCAGATCTGCCCAGATTAAAGACCGCTTTCAGAGGGTCTGGATGTGCTGGACATGTGGGCCACCACACTGAGAACTGCAAGTGTCAGGGGCACCTTGAGCACACTCCCTAGGCCGGGCGTCAGGCAAGTGGGTAACGAGCAGCCTCCCTTTTCGGAATGTACATCCATGATGAGTGGTTTTACGGAAAAGAAATTCTGGATTGCTTTTTTACCTCGGCCTAATAGCAGACCTACTACCATGCACAGCAGTGGGAGAACAGGACACAAGAGAACATTTGGCCAGACTCCTGGGGCTTCAGCTGCCAGCTCCAGGGAGTGAACCCTGTGCTTCTAGAGTGTCCAGTTTTTAGGTGATGTTAGAAATCTCAACTGGGGCACCTGAGCGGCTCAGTCAGTTAAGCATCTGACATCGACTCAGGTCATGGTCTCTAGACTTGTGGGTTCGATCACTACGTTGGGCTCTGTGCTGACAGCTCAGAGCCTGGAGCCTGCTTTGGATTCTGTCTCTCTCTGTCCCTCTCTCTCTCAAAAATAAACAAACATTAGGGGCGCCTGGGTGGCTTGGTTAAGCGGCCAACTTTCGCTTGGGTCATGATCTCGCGGTTCGTGGGTTCGAGCCCCGCGTCGGGCTCTGTGCTGACTGCCAGCTCAGAGCCTGGAGCCTGTTTCAGAGTCTGTGACTCCTTCTCTCTCTGACCCTCCCCTGCTCACGCTGTCTCTCTCTCTCTCTCTCCTAGAAATAAAAAATTTTTAAATAAATAAATAAATAAATAAATAAACAAACATTAAAAAAAAAATCAGAAATCTCCATTATGTTAAAACTGGTTTTTAAATGCTGACAACTAACCCAAAATTTTTTAAATGATGTGATCAAACAAACAATATCCATAAGTCAGATCTGGCAACAGGCCAACAGTCTGCACCCTCTGGTTAGAACATTCAAGGGTCAAATCTTCTTAGGCCACTGCTGATCACATCCCCACCAGGCCTCAGGGCTTGGGGCAACAGGGGTCTACCTATTGGTTCACAGGTCACAGGGGTTACCCCAGAATCTGGCCCTCAACATCCACTTGGGAGGTCACCTCAATGCCTGTCATGGAATTCTTATATGGTTCTTTTCAGGGCAGACAATGCTGCCTTACCACTTGGTAGTATGCTGCTTAGATCTAAAAACAGGATCCAGGCACCTGGCTGGCTCAGTCAGTAGAGTGTGTGACTCTTGCTCTCTGGGTTGTGGGTTTGAGGACTCCATGTGGGTGCAGACATTACTTTAAAAAATAAAATATTGGGGCGCCTGGGTGGCTTAGTCGGTTAAGCATCTGACTTTCGCTTAGGTCATGATCTCATGGTTCATGGGTTCGAGCCTCGCATCGGGCTCTGTGCTGACTGCCAGCTCAGAGCCTGGAGCCTGTTTCAGAGTCTGTGACTCCCTCTCTCTCTGACCTCCCCTGCTCATGCTGTCTCTCTCTCTCTCCTAGAAATAAATAAAACATTAAAAAATAATAATAATAAGTAAAATCTTAAAAACAATTTAAAAATAACTGAAGATAATAAAAACAGTATCCAATCAGCTATGTATTTTCTAATATACAAGCTCTAAGTTACCTTAGGCCTGAAAAAGTATAGGCTGAGGGAAAAAAACAACCTCAAATCAAATATAAAAAATATGAATCACCGAAGGAGATAAGTCGCTCATGAAGACTGTTTATGCATTAGGAGTGAGAGAGGCCCTTCTGGTGCTGCTGTTGCTATTGTTAGTTTTAATTGGCTTGTTTTTAGAGTCTAGATGTTTTGCTTAGAAAAAAGCAGTGAAAAAGAAAAAAGTAATGAGCCCCTTACAAACACATTCACCATTTTTATGTATTATATGATGCATGTTTATGCTTGCCACACGGGGCACATGATTAAATTACAGCCCTCAGCACGCCTGGGTGGCTCAGTCAGTTGAGCATCTGACTTGATTTAGGCGGGAGTCATGATCCCAGGGTTGTGGGATCGAGCCCCTGCTTAAGATTCTCTCCTTCTCTTGGGGCGCCTAGGTAGCTCAGTTGGCTAAGTGTCCAACTCTTTTTTTTTTTTTTTTTAACATTTATTTATTTTTGAGAAAGACAGAGACAGAGTGTGAGTGGTGAAGGGGCAGAGAGACAGGGAGACACACAATGGGAAGCAGGCTCCAGGCTATGAGCTGTCAGCACAGAGCCCAATGTGGGGTTTGAACTCATAAGCCGTGAGGTCATGACCTGAGCCAAAGTCGACTGCTTAACCAACTGAGCCACCCAGGCACCTGATGTGTCCAACTCTCGATTTGGGCTCAGGTTCTCACAGTTCATGGGCTCAAGCCCCACTCTGGGCTCTGCACTGGCAGCACAGGGCCTGCTTGGGATTCTCTCTCTCTCCCTCTCTCTCTGCCCCTCTCCTGCTCATTCACATTCTCTCAAAACAAATAAATAAAAAACTTGAAAGATTCTCTCCTTCTCCCTCTCCTCCTCTCCCCCATTCACACACTATCTCTCTCTCAAATAAAAAAACTAAAGTCATAGCCCTCATTTTACCTAATGGAGTTCTGAAAAGCTGTCCAATCTTCTTGAAAAAGCGAGTTGGGAGGAATATCATCCAGCTTGTACTTCTTTCGTATCGACTGGAGAGTACTGGTGAAATCGGACACATACCTGTGGGGAAAGAAAACACAACAGATGGGGATGTCAGCGTCAACTCCTCAGATCTAAAGATACCTGGAATTATATGGCTTTGCACGAACGGCCAAGGATCTCGAGACTGTTTTGCAGAGGCTCCTGCCGAGGGGGCACACTGCGTATAAACTCTGACCACAGAAGGGCCTTCTCTGTGTGGCAGGACCATCTTTCTCCCCCGGAAGAACAGCGTTAGGGGAGACACTCAAGGTGAGGAAGAAGGGCAGAGCCACTGAGACAAAGACTGGTGACCAGCCAGGTGAGAGTTGGGGCTGGTAAATCACTCTCTGGCCCAAAGAATTGTCCTGAAACATCACGATCCCATAGTGGTACCCGGCCGTCACTGAGGACACTGTAAAACAGCTCGCCTATGTCCACGGCTCTTCCGTGGCTTTCTTCTCCCCCAAATTTAGATTAAGTAGCTGAGCTCCCTGGCAAGCAAGAGCCCACCTTTAATGGCGCAGAAGCATGAAACTGGATTCAAAGCTGAAGGCCCTCCCCCGTCAACCTGCTGTTTGCTCCCACTGTGCACCACCTGTTTCCCTCACAGCACCCGGCACAGGTTTAACCAGACAGCTTCTTTCATGCAGATGTTCAGGGCACGTGCTGTTGCTAGGCCAGAGGCTCCCGGAGAACAGGGACTACCCCTTTGTGGCTCATAACCATACCCCCAGAATTAGCACAGGGCTGGCCAGAAAACAGACACCTGGGAACATTTCCTGAATGAATGCCAGACTTGCACTATGACCTTGGGAAAACGTCTGGGTGTCTTTGGGCCTCAACTTCCTCATCCTTAACAATGTCTCAGCTATATTGCCTCACAGGGTTGCCATGATGATAAAATAAGATAAATGAAGTAATATACACGAAAGCTCCCTGGAAAGCATGGAATGAAAGCTGATGTGGGGTGGTGATACCTTTAAGGACGTACACCTCGTGGAACACGAACGAACAAATGCAGGTCCTCGAGTATCAGAATACAGCGGGGGGTGGGTCTTGTTCTCTGGAAACCACGAGGCTCTCTGAAAACCTAGGCCAGCTGTGTGCCTCACAGTGAGGCTGATCTCCCCAAACCATTAGCTCTACATGAGGAAAGTGGGATGTGACACCCAGGGCACAGGCCTGAAGAGCAAGCTGGTGTGGGGGAAAGAAAGGCGACAGGCAGCGGAAACTGCTTCAGGCCTCTCCGCCGACTACCTGACTACTAGTGGCACCGCAGCCCCTAGACACGGGCCCGAGGCCTTAGAGGCAAGAGCCACGAAACCAAAATTCCATCCATGTCACCTCCCCTTTGTACTAAGAGAAGTGACAGCTTTCTGTCAGTCCTTGGGGGAGGAAGACGGGCCTCAAGGACCAATGGACGGGGAGATGTTGAAAAACACAACTGTGCTTCAGCCGCAGGAGGTTAACCGACTGTGCCACTGCCCTGCAGCCATGACGGAAAGCTCTTAGAGGAGTATGCCATGCAGTGAGGCCCTTGCTCTGCAGGAGCTCAGGACGGTGTTCCAGGAGGTCGAGCAGGAAGCAGAGCGCTGGGGGAAGTGGTTTCCATTCAGCCACAGTGTGCATCACATCACAGTTCAATCACATTTGTCCCCAAACCTCCCAATTCTCTCTCACAATAAATGTTTCTGGGCATCCCTACCATGTAAGAGTTGCTGTGTTAGGGGCTCTAATTACAAGCTTTTACTCGAAAGCCACAACTGCCATAAAGATGGCTGCCTCAGTTTACTCAGAGAAAAGACACGGAGGCTCCAAGAGGTCCCAACAGTAAGCATCAGAACCAGGGCTGGGCCCAAGTGGCTCCGGCCCCAGAGCCCACACTCCTGTTGTAGCTGGGAAGCCCCTGATTCTGAGACCCCTTCTCAGTCGCTTATACCCTATGGCTTCACCCTAGTTCAACTTAGTCCAGCCCTCTGCAACCTCCCCCACGTTCCCCATCCTGCCATCCTTAACGCCCTCCCCACAACTGAACGATGTCCCCTCCCAACCCTTCTCCGGTTAGCTTCACACTGATTGCCCTAATTTTAAAACGGCAGCTGTTGGGGTAGCTTCAAAATCTTCCCTTCTAGAGGTGACCTAGTTTCACCACATACCCTTTGTACAGTTTGAATTTTTAATATAGGTCTGTGTTTTCTAATGTGTTTTTTAATCTGTTATTTTTTAAAGTAATCAAAATAACCAATAGAAGAACTAGAAGTAAAAATATCACTCACAAGAGCTGAGAGGGGCAGGGGATGAGAGATGAACTGCCTTAAATAAACCCAGTCTCTCAAGATACAATAGTTAAGGTTGAGGGGTGCCTGAGTGGTTCAGTCAGTTAAGCATCTAACCCTTGATTTCAGCTCAGGTCGTGATCCCAGGGTTGTGGGGCTGGGCCCCGAATTGGGCTCTGCACTGAGTGCAGGGCCTGGTTAAGAGTCCCTCTCTCTCCTCCTCTGCTCCTCTCCTCCACTCCTGTTCTCCCTCTCTAAAAAGTATTTTTAATGTTTTATTTATTTTTGAGAGTGAGAGAACATGAGCCAGGGTCGGGCAGAGGTGGGGGGACGGGGTGGACAGAGGATCCGAAGCAGGCTCAGCACTGACAGCAGCAAGCCCGAATGGGGACTCAAACTCATGAACCGTGAGATCATGACCTGAGCCGAAGTCAGAGACACTCAGCTGGCTGAGCCACCCACGCAACCCCCTTCTCTAAAATTAAAAAATAATAATAGTTAAGGTTGCTAAAAATTTTTTCTTTAAAGTGCAGAGGGGAGAGCTAAAAATCTTTTATCTATATACATTTTTTGATGTTTTATTTACTTTTGAGAGAGAGAGAGAATGAGAATAGAGGAGGGGCAGAGAGAGAGGGGGACAGAGAATCCAAAACAGGCTCTACACTGACAGCAGCAAGTCTGATCCAGGCCTCAAATTCACCAACCGTGAGATCATGACCTGAGCCGAAGTCAGATGCTTAACTGACTGAGCCAAGCAGTCAGCTCAAATCTTCTTTTAAATGATTAAAAGCAAAATGTGCAAAAGTGGATATTTCTGAGCAGAAGGACTAAGAGCGGAAAGGAAGACTGATGTTTTATACTTTTTTATGTTTAAAAAAATTATTCTACAGTATTATTTTTGTTATTTTATAATAAGATTTTTAGATCTCAATAAAAAATTCTTTCCATCCACAAAGTCCTGGCTGGTAGTGGAGACAGAAAGTGGTCAGTTTTTTCTGATTATACTTGCTGCTCGTGCTTCTTAGAAAATGCATCTGGGCTCACGCGGCTGCACCTCTGTCTGAGAGCAGGGCCAAGTGTCCGTGGCAGCCCTAATGTCTCCGCTGGGAGCTGCCCTCCGGAGGTAGGACCGCCCACTGCAGACAGCTCTGGCTCCACAGACCTCAGAGCTCACAGGGGTGTGCCCAGCATTTCTGGAATGCCAAGGGTCCCTAAACTTACTACGGCAAAACAGCATTCAGTTCAATTAAAAAAATTTTTTCTCGAGACTGAGGGCGACTTCATTCTAGAACAAGTTACGAAAGGAAGGCCTTTGGAGAGCCTAAGAATGTATTTGTCTCCAGGCGGGAGACGGGAACGGACCTGAGGGCCCTCGCGCCTCAACTGCACGGGTCAGAAAATCCAGCTTCTGCTGCTTGCTCACTTGTCCTTTTTCCTAACTCAACGTGACTTGGTCTCCTCTTCTTTGTCTCCACAGCTCTACTGCAACAGATTGACACACCATGCAATTCAATGGCTTTTAGTTATAGTCACAGAGCTGTGTGGCCATCACCAATCAACTTTAGAACATTTCCATCGCCTGAAAAAGAAGCCCTGTACCTTTTGGTAGTCATCCCCCCATCTCTTCCAAATGCCCACCTCACTTTGGCCAGCAGCAACCATCCGTTTTCTGTCCCTACTGACTTTGGACCTTTCATTCAGTTGGAATCATACATCATGTGGTCTGTTGTGACTGACTTCCTTCACTTAGCATGATGTATTTTTCTCATTTTTATATTTTTAGTTACACGAGAAACGTGAGACTATATGCTTTTTTAAAAATCAGAAAATAACAAATAAAGCTAAATCCTCTATGAACACCACCCTAGTCCTTCCCTACCTCCCCAAAGATAACGGGTGTTTTGAGTTTGTGGCCTAACCTTCCAGACATTAGGGCTCAGCAAACTTTTTTCTATTAAGCTCCCATTATTTTAGGTTTTGAGGGTCCCAAAGTCTCTGTCCTAACTACTCAATTCTACCTTCATAGACCATAGGTAAGGGAATGGACATGGCTGTGTTGCAATAAAACTTTATTTACAAAAGCAAAGGACAGGCCAGATTTGGCTCATGTATTAAGAGTTTGTTAACATCTATTCCACAGGAATACATAATGCATGTTAAAGTATTAAAAAAAAAAATTCAGAATAGGGATTGGTACTCTGGCCCATTCTGTAAATGAAGTTTTCCTGGAATACAGCCATGCCCATTCATTTATGTGTTGTCTACCAAAGTCTCTACTGACCGTTAAGGCCCAAAAGCCTAAAATGCTTATCATCTGGCCCTGTGCAGAAAAAGTCTGCTGAACCCTGCTATGGAAAGTATACCCTACTTTTTGTATGTTCTTTTTATATACTGTATTACACTCTACACAGGATCCTGCAACTTGCTTTTATTTTCACTCAGTGAAATCTATCAATGTTGATATGTGTCGACCTACTAATACTGTAACTACCAAATAGAGTTCTCTTGTATAAATATACCATATGTTATTTAGCTATTGCCAAATTCATGGCCGTTCAGGTTGCTTCATATGTTCCACTATTACGAACAGCGCTGTAATGGACATCCTTAAGAACGCCCCCTCGGGCTCAGGTGCTTCTCCAGGGCTCACAGCAGGAGCAGAGAATGCATGCAGTTTTAACTGGGGCACACGGCACCCTCCAGAGTGGCCAGCCCTGTCCCCACACCCCAGTCTTACTTGGCAAAGAGGGATTTCAGTGCTGTCAGCAAGCCACAGGTCCCCAGGCCATTGGTGAATCTGATGCATCTGTCAACGGCTGCAGAAGCCAGAGCAAAGAGCTTGTTCACGGAGTGGCTCAGCTCCTGCACACAGTCAATGACCTCCCCATGCTCCTGGTCAGCAAACACGGACAAACAAAAGCTGCCTCAGGCTCAAGAACAAATGAATAGACAACATTAAGATGGGGGAGAACTCCAAAGCTCTTCGCCCGTGGTAAAACCACTCAAGTCAGGCAGCAGAAACACAGCCCCAAGCGGCAACAGCCCTCAGGGAGCCTGACCCTAGGGGAGGACATCTACGTGGCCAGTAAGATCACACACGTGAGCTCCTGGCAGAAAAGCAGGATCAAAATCCTTGTATTTTTCATCTCTTTCCTCTTTTCCTGTGATTAAGATGGCATCTCTCCCCTGGCTCTAAAGCTAGAATTCAAATTCTCCATATCAAACACTCCAGAAGAATGCAGTAAAAGGAAAATGCTTCCTTCAGGGGCAAGAACGTAACTGAGGCAGAACAGACTTTCTAGGCATGTCCCTGGAAAACAGAAAAATGGCAGGAGGCAGCAGAGTTTAACTCGTGTGAGATCTACTCTTAAATGTCAACTCGCTTCAGGCTACATAACCTTAATATTTGCAACGGGAATGCCTTCTCTTCCCCTTGGAGGTCCGCACAAGCGAAACTGCCCCTGGGGCACTGCCCGTGAATATATGGTTCCTGTGCCCATTTCCACATGTTCCATAGCCAAAGACTGCCATCATAAGAATTCGTTAAATTGGGGAAATCATCAACTTATCTCCAAAAGATTTAAGTATCTCATTCTATTGGACCTTCACTTGAGACTTTAAATAGAAAACTGGTAGCATATCTGTGGTCTCATTTTACACTTGGATTGAAGAGCCCATGGGGTACTTAGAGCCTGTTTTTGCCCACTCGTTCCCACTCTTTGCAGACCTGATGCCACCCCCGACTTCACCAAACCAGATGACTCCTCAATGGTCACCGGGCAGCACTATGACATTACCAGAGGCACAGCGCTGATCTGGATGAGGACGTTCTTCTCTTCCATGTCACCATACTTCAGCTGGTAAGGTTTGTATGGGCCATACACAGCCTCCACCAGTTCCGTGACTTTCACCAGGTTGTACTCATCTTGAGGGAATCAAAAATTAAAATTGATGATGAACAAAGACTCAAAAGTTTGGAGAATAACAAGTGAAAGGTACTCTTTGGGAACTTTTCAGATTTCATCTTAGGGGTGATGACATTTTGTCAATTTGCTTTTGTTGTTTATGGAAGTTGCCGCAATCACTTTGGTAAATATTTTGATAAATGTGGGCTCTATGTATTATTTGTCTGGAGCACTATTAAAACATTTTTTAAGGTCTGTTCATTTTTCAGAGACAGAGAGAGACAGAACTTAAGGCAGGGAGGAGCAAAGAGAGAAGGAGACACAGAATCTGAAGCAAGCTGCAGTATCTGAGCTGTCAGCACAGAGCCCGACACGGGGCTCAAACTCACAGACCACGAGATCATGACCTGAGCTGAAGTCAGACACTTAACCAACTGAGCCACCCAGGCGCCCCGCAGAGCACTATTAGAGCTACCAACGCACTTCGTCCCATGACCTGTCATGGCCAAGAATCTCTTCAAATGATAACTCTAACCAAGGTCAAATTCCAAAAGAGCTACAAAGAAAAGGCTCTGCAGGAAGAACACTTTTTCAAGGACTTTATAGACAGGATACCCCATATACTAGGCATTCCCCCAAAATTCCTATATTCAACTACATTAAAAAATCTAAAACATGTTTGTATCAAAAATCGAAATGGGTATATTCCAGGAAATATCAATTCAACTTCCAAGTTGAACACTTACCTAAGTGACATTAGCATCTATTGATCATCTTTGCCTGATGATTATAAAATGGTGATTTCCTGGGGAACCTGGGTGGCTCAACTAGTTAAGTGTCCAAATCTTGACTTCAGCTCAGGTCATGATCTTACTGTTCATGGGTTTGAGCCCCTCACTGGGCTCACGCTGACAGTATGGAGCCTGCTTGAGATTCTCTCTACCTCCCCTGCTCACTCTCTCTCTCACAAAATAAATAAATAAACTAAAAAAAAAAACTTAAAATGGTGATTTCCTAAATCTCTCGTTCTTTCTACATCTATATGCAGGCCTTCTTTTGTAAAAAGATTTTCCTCTCTTTTTAAATGTTTATTCACTTTTGAGAGACAGAGAGAGATAGAGCACGAGCAGGGAAGGGACAGAGAAAAAGGGAGACACAGAATCTGAAGCAGGCTCCAGCTCTGAGCTGCCAGCACAGAGCCCGACGCGGGGCTCAACCTCATGAACCATGAGATCATGACCTGAGCCGAAGTCGGACGCTTAACCGACTGAGCCACCCAGGCACCCCCCTCCTTTTTTTTAAAGACTTTTTTTTTAATGTTTATTTGTCTTTGAGAGAAAGCAGAGAGAGATGGAGACAGAATCTGAAGCAGGCTCCAAGCTGTCAGCACAGAGCCCAACGCAGGGCTTGAACCCATGAACCATGTGATCATGACCTGAGCAGAAGATGGACGTTTAACATATTGAGCTCTCTCTTTCTCTCTAATACAATATCCCTGTGAACTCGTGGATTCTTTGAATATTCATTGTGTCATGATCCGTCATTGTCATTATTCATTTTGATGCTCAGATTATTTCAAATTTGGTTATTTCAGGCTACCTCCTGTATCTTTTTGACATATCCCTACTCAGTCTTTTAGTATGATGGCTGGAATCCAAAATCTTTTTTATAGCTTGCAAGGACCCACACGGGCCAACCTCAGAAGGTGAAAGAGGGAGGCAGTGAAGAGTGAAGAAGGCTCTCCTATCCAAGCTCTCTTGCGTCCTACTTATGTGACTGTGTGCCAATCATAGGACTTTCAATGTCTGTTTTCTCAACTATACATTGAGGTTAATAATGGCATCAATCTTAAAGGACCTGAACGTGAGACAGGAAACTATCAACATCCTAGAGGAGAAAGCAGGAAACAACCTCCTTGACCTCCACCGCAGCAACTTCTTTCTGGACACATCCCCAAAAGCAAGGGAATCAAGAGCAAAATGAACTCTTGGGACCTCATTAAGATTAAAAGCTTCTGCACAGCAAAGGAAACAACCCAGAAAACTAATAGGCAACCAACGGAATGGGAAAAGATAGTTGCAAATGACATATCAGATAAAGGGTTAATATCCAGAATCTAGGGGCGCCTGGGTGGCTTAGTCGGTTAAGCGTCCGACTTTCACTTAGGTCATGGTCTCGCGGTTCGTGGGTTCGAGCCCCGCGTCGGGCTCTGTGCTGACTGCCAGCTCAGGGCCTGGAGCCTGCTTCAGTCTGTGACTCCCTCTCTCTCTGACCCTCCCCTGCTCGCGCTGTCTCTCTCTCTCTCCTAGAAATAAATAAAACATTAAAAAAAAAAATATCCAGAATCTATAAGGAACTCACCAAACTTCACACCTGAAAAACAAACAACCCAGTGAAGAAACGGGCAGAAGATATGAACAGACACTTCTCCAAAGAGGACATCCAGATGGCCAACAGACACATGAAACGATGCTCAGCATCCCTCCTCATCAGGGAAATACAAATCAAAACCACACTGAGATACCACCTCACGCCAGTCGGAGTGGCTAAAATGAGCAAATCAGAGAACTCTAGATGCTGGCGAGGATGTGGAGAAACGGGCACCCTCCTACACTGTTGGTGGGAACGTAAACGGGTACAGCCCCTCTGGAAAACAGTGTGGAGGTTCCTCAGGAAACTAACAATAGAACTCCCCTATGACCCAGCAATAGCACTGCTAGGAATTTACCCAAGGGATACAGAAATGCTGAGGCATAGGAGCACATGGACCCCAATGTTCAGAGCAGCACTCTCCACAATAGCTAAAACATGGAAAGAGCCTAAGTGTCCATCAACAGATGAATGGATCTAGAAGATGTGGTTTATCTATACCATGGAATACCACATGGCAATGAGAAACAATGAAATCTGGCCATGTGTAGCAACATGGATGGACCTTGAGGGTGATATGCTGAGCGAAATAAGTCAGGCAGAGAAGGACAAATATCATATGTTTGCACGTATAGGAGGATTAGGAGGAACTTGACGGAGGAACAAGGGGGAGAGGAAGGGGGAAAATGGTGGGGGAAAGGGAGAGAGGCAAACCATGAGAGACTCTTGAATGCTGACAAAAACTGAGGACTGATGGATGGGGGGGGGGGGATGGGCATGGAGGAGGACACTTGTGGGGATGAGCACTGGGTGTTATGTGGAAACTAATTTGACAATAAACTATTTGTAAAAAAAATAAAAAAATAAATAATGGTATCAATCTTACAAGGCCTTCATGGAGATTACATAAAATCTTTGTGTAGCATGTGGTAACACTTAATAAATGCCAGCTCTTTTTACTGTTACTGCCCCAGCCTTTCCTCCTTCACAATTAGTTTCCTCCTCCTGGCCTCCAGCCTTCTTGTAGTTCCTCAGAAGCACTGGGCTCCCTTCGGGTCACTTCTGTCTGGAAGGACTTTGTTCTCCCTTACCCTTGTGTCTGGTCACCTCCCATTCTTCTTTCAGGACTCACTCAGCTCAAGTTACCAGGCTCAATCAGCTTTGTTTGTTCATATATTCTCCTAGAACCACTCTGCTTTTTTTCAAAGTACTCATCTTGTTTTGTAATTACACACCTATTACTATAATAATTTGGTTATCTCCCACCAGAACAGGTGTTATAGGAGAGCAAGGACTGTGTCTGATTTTGCTCAGTGTTCAGCATTCCAGTACTAGTTTGTTTGTAGTTGAGTGAATAAATTAAATATGTTGTGACCTATCCATAAGGGAGTCATGAAAAATAACTGGACACACACATATGTAAAACACACACACACAGTTGGGAACCAGAGTTCTCACTGTACAAGAGATGCAACCAGGGAGAAGGAAGGTAAAGTGGATGTGATTTAAAAGGATCAGTATAAACTGGAAATATATAGTTCCTAGCTCTGTCCACCAAAAGGGTCTAGAATCCCAGGAAGAGTGAGCACCCTCAGTGTCCAAACCTTGGTTTCTAAATACCATTTCCCACTAAAAGAAACCGGCTCCTTAGGAAAACATAGGTCTTAGGCAGGGAAAATATCTGTTCCTGGAACAATTTGTGGCAAACAGCAAGCAAGTAATCAAAGACTGATAGGGACATTTCAAAAAGATACAGAAGGCAGCCTAAAGGGGCAACTACTGTCCAAATTTGAAATATTTCAAGCATCAAAATGAATAATAGGAATAGCAAATCATACCACAATGAATAAAAAAAGAATCCAGGAATTCACAGTGATATTAAAGTAAGGAAAAGGGGGTTGCCTGTGGGGTGCAGCTGGTTGGCATCCAGCTGTTGATCTCAGCTCAGGCTGTGATCTCACAGTTTGTGAGCTCAAGCCCTGCATCAGACTCTGCACTGATGGTGTAGAGTCTGCGTGGGATTCTCTCTCTCCTTTTCTCTGCCCCTCCCCCACTTGTACACACATCCTCTCTCTCTCAAAATAAATAAATAAACTTAACAAAATTTTTTAAAAAATAAAGGAAGCACCTGGCTGGCTCAGGAGGAGCATGCAATTCTTGATCTTGGAGTCATGAGTTTGAGCCCCAAGTGGGTGTAGAGAGTACCTAAATAAATAAAACTTTTTAAAAGTGAGGAAAGAGGGGCTCCTGGGTGTCTGAGTCGGATTAAGCATCCGACTTCAGCTCAGGTCATGATCTCACGGTTTGTGGGTTTGAGCCCCATGTCGGGCTCTGTGCTGACAGCTCAGAGTCTGGAGCCTGCTTCAGATTCTGTGTCTCCCTCTCTCTCTGCCCCTCCCCTATTCATGCTCTGTTTCTCTCTGCCTCAGTAATAAATAAACATCAAAAAAAAATTTTAAAGTAGGAAAGAAAAGAAAAATCTCTTCTTTACAAAAGAAGGCCTGCAAATAGATATAGAAGGAATGACAGAAGTAGGGAATCACCATTTTATAATTGGTATTGTGAAAGTTATTCAGGCAAGATTTATCAATGGATGCTAAAGTCACTAAGTAAGTGTTCTTTGAGGATTAGTATTTTCCTATGGGCCCCAAGCATCACCCTATGGATTATTTATTAATTACAAAGAGGAAAAGGTATCTTTACAACAGAGAGATCTACTGGATACATTGGATACATCTACCAAGTGATTAATCCAGCCATCACCAATAATTAGACATTATGTGTCTCCTGATGTGATGCCACAGGAAATACACATCATCATCAATGTAGTATTCTTGCCAAAATATTTAATCCAAATTTAATCTTCAGGAAACAATCAGACAATCGCAGGAAAAGGGACATTCCACCAGAAAATTACACTGTATTCTTCAAAGATGTCAATGTCATGAAAGACAAAAGAGAGGTGAGATGACTGTTTCAGATTAAGAGATTAAAGAGAAAAGACAAAAATAAAGAGTCAAGACAACCAAAAAACATATGCACATCGATTGATCTTAATGGGAGGAAGAGGTGGAGAAGCAGCTATAAAGGCTTTTGTGGAACAAATGGAAAATTTGTGTATTAGGTGACAGTATTGAGTCAGTATTATATTGTGGGGGGGCTGATAACAGTAACAAAATATTCTATTAAAAACATTTAAAGGAGCGCCTGGGTGGATCAATCGGTTAAGCATCTGACTTCAACTCAAGTCATGGTCTCATGGTTTGTGGGTTCGAGCCCCACACTGGGCTCTCTGCTATCAGCACAGAGCCAGCTTCAGATCCTCTGTCCCTCTCTCTCTGCCCCTCCTTTCTCTTTCTCTCTCAAAAGTAAACATTAGGGGCGCCTGGGTGTCTTAGTCGGTTAAGCATCCGACTTTCGCTTAGGTCATGATCTCGCTGTTCGTGGGTTCGAGCCCCGCATCGGCTCTGTGCTGACTGCCAGCTCAGAGCCTGGAGCCTGTTTCAGAGTCTGTGACTCCCTCTCTCTCTGACCCTCCCCTGCTCACGCTGTCTCTCTCTCTCTCCTAGAAATAAATAAAACATTAAAAAAATTTTTAAAAAAAGTAAACATTAAAAAAATTGTTTTAAACATTACAGGATATAGAGACCCTCTGATTCATACAAAATCTGTTCATTTATATAACACAAAATACTGCTTCTAAATGGTGGACTGAGAATGATCTTTTTCCTTCTTTGTGTTTTCCGGGGTTTTCTATAATTAATACCTATTGCTTATTAATTATAAAATCAACTTAAGTTATCTTTAAATATTAGTTTTTCTACTTCATAATTTGTATGTTTCTAATTATACCATGTACATGCATTAATTGCCAAAATAGAGACAATGTTAAAGGCAAAATATAAATTTCGAAAATATATCTGTAGAGGCGCCAGGGTGGCTCAGCTGGTTATGCGTCTGACTTTGGATTCTGTGTCTCCCTCTCTGCCCCTCCCCTGCTCGCACTCTCTCCCTCTCTCTCTCCCAAAAAATAAAGAGTGAGAAAAAAAGAAAAGAAAGTGCATGTGTAACAATGATAAACAATGGAGAAAAAAATCTTTGCTACATCAGGCTATTTTGGGATAGATACCAAATTTTTAACAGTGGTTATTTCTAGCAAACTAGGTTTACAGGAGACTTTCATTTTGCGTTATAGATTCCTATATCATGAATTTTTATAACATGTACTTTGTTGCTTTTTATATTTAATGATATATTATTTTAAATTGTTCTTATAAATTAATCTGAAATAAGTTAAACTCTTAAAAAAAAAGTAGGCAAATGAATAAGCAATTCAAAAAAAGTTTATAAATTGAAAACTTGCTAGTAATCAAAGAAATGAAGAATCACAATGAAATATCATTAACTGTCTAAGAACCTGGTAACGATGGGGAAAAACAAACAGCGTCCAGTGCAGGCGTGGGCCTGGGGGATGGGCACCCTCAGTCACTACTGACAGACACGAAAATAGGGAGAAACCTTCTCAAGAGCAAAATATGACAAATGTCTTTAAAATGTTCATTTCTTATGGGACATCTGGGTGACTCAGTTGGTTAAGTGTCTAACTTTGGCTCATGATCTTGCAGTTTGTGGGTTCAAGCCCCATGTCAGGCTCTGTGCTGATAGCTCAGAGCCTGGAGCCTGTTTCTGATTCTGTGTCTCCCTCTCTCTCTGCTGCTCCCCAGCTTGTGCACTCCTCCCTCAAAAATATATTAAAACATTTTTTAAAAATTTAATAGATAAGTATATAAATAAATAAAATGTTCATTTCTTAGCAACTGTGATTCTTAAGCTTACCCTAAGGAATAATCAAAATTTCAGGGTTCAGAATTAATGTGTTGGACTGTTTGTAATAGTTTTATTTCTAATAGTGGATAAATTAAAGTAAGCCACAGTTGGGGCGCCCGGGTGGCTTAGTCGGTTAAACGTCCAACTTTCACTCAGGTCATGATCTCGCAGTTCGTGGGTTCGGGCCCCGCGTCGGGCTCTGTGCTGACTGCCAGCTCAGAGCCTGGAGCCTGTTTCAGTCTGTTACTCCCTCTCTCTCTGACCCTCCCCTGCTCATGCTGTCTCTCTCTCTCTCCTAGAAATAAATAAAACATTAAAAATAAATAAATAAATAAAGTAAGCCACAGTTATCTAGTGGTCATTAAAAAGCCACATCTTGGTTCTGGACAAATGTTAGAAACTGCTATACCTGGGTATGCTATACCTCAGTTCAGAGGCAATTAAAAAATCCTAATATGCTAAAACCAAAAAAAGACAACAGATAAAATTAAATACATGTTTAAAAAAATGTCTTGGGAAAACATTTAATGACATTTAAAAGAATGCTCATTATAAGGGTGCCTGGGTGACTCAGTGGATTAAGTGTCCAACTTCGGCTCAGGTCATGATCTCATGGTTTGTGAGTTCGAGCCCCGTGTTGGGCTCTGTGCAGACAGCTTGGAGCCTGGATTCTGCTTCAGATTCTGTGTCTGCCTCTCTCTTTCTGCCCCTCTTCCACCCGTACTTGGTCTCTTTCTCTCTCTCTCTCAAACATAAACAAACATTGAAAAAAAGAACTTACAAAAATGCTCATTATATTGAGCAAAGAAAGATAATTTAAGTTTGTATGCAACCATTATTTTTCAAGATGTATATGTGTGTAGGTGTATACGTGTATATATTTTTAGATATATTTGTGGAAAATTGTGTACTTATATTTGAATTACTAGGAGAAAATACAATGAAAGGCTGCCAGAGGCTCTCTCTGAATGATGAGGTTGTGAATCACTTTTATTCTCTTTTATTTTTACTTTTAGGTGCTTCCAAAGTATTTCTAAATTTAAAAAAATACTTTTTCGGAAACCTTGATAGGAATCATTAAAAATCTAAATTTCCATGGCTGGCTAACAAAGCACTTCTATGCCTTATTCTTTGGAGGGTGGTTCTCTCTTTTTCAAACATCCATCAGCAGTGGGAGGAAGGCCACCTGCCTTTTTGCTCTACCTTCATTCTACTCTGCTCCAGCAGGCAGCGTGGTCTACACTCCAGCCCCACAGACACTGCATCCTGGTCCCCTGGAAGCTACCCACATCCCCCAAGCCTTTCCCACAACCAAGATCTGCCAAGTGAGTGAGCCAAAACACCTATGAATCATCCGGAACTGGAACAATAAACACACTCCCTGGAATGTACGAAGTAATTATACCCAAATGTAATTAAAGAGAATAACTATTAAATAAAGCAAGTTAGTGACACATAGCCGCCAAACGGCAGAACAAGGCCTTCCTGAAGCGATTTCCTGATTTGACAGAAGCATGCGTCATGAGATCTGTGCTACTTAAAAGTTTATGATGCTTTTAACTTACAGGGGAAACGGCTGGGGAAACGTAACACGACATGGCTGTGCTCCGAGACACAGCTGGGGAATGCCCATCTTCCCCACAGCCACCCTGAGTCCTAACACAGCCTCGCTGCTCTTGAACACTTGCTGATGCCCTATCAAGAAGTTCCTCTAACCTAGTCTCTTCAACTTACTTTGTAGGTGGAGTTGTCTGAGGTTTTATGACATCCCAAAGGGAAGAGGACACTACCTTCCCAACGGAAGTTGGGAATTTGAGGCCACTGATGCCCACCTGCCTCTTGCACATTCTAAGTTCCTACGGAAGTGCCCATCACTCCCCCAGAGCATGCAAAGCCCCTAGGTAGCACTGGGTTTGGTTAATATGTCAGGCAGCAACCATTCCCATAATGGCAATGCTTTCATGGAAAAGGCTTCGCTATCTGCTGAGAAGGAAAACAAGGATATTCCAAATCTGTAAAATCAGTCATCTGAAAAGACAAACAAACCCAAGAAGCTTCAAAAAGAGCAAGTGAAGACAGGCCAGAGGACCGGGAGGAAGGAGTATTTACGTGGGCGGGGGAGCTGTGCCATCTCCAGCCCCTTGGCAAAGTGGGAGGTGGCATCGTAGAACTCCAGGAGCGTGAGGAGCCCCAGCTCAGGCCCGGCCCTCTCCATGCCGGAGCTGAGGCAGTCGGGCAGGGCGGGCACCAAGGCCCCCAGAGTCTGAATCAGCAGCACAGTCACCACCTCGTGGGGGTTCTTGAAAACCTACAGTGGGAGAGAGGTATCTGCGTTAGCACAAAGGCCCAAGTGGGAGCGCAACTTATAAAGAAGCAGTCTCCTGGACTGCTCTCAGAGGAATTTCTCCAACAGCTGGAAAATGGCCTCATCAAGAGCTTTAAGCCCCAAGTGTTCCTTCCTACAAACTCAAACAAGCTCAGAGAGCCAAGTAACTGGCAGAACTTGCAACTTGTCCAGAACAATTGGCTACTCCATGTCAATTGCTGGCCACAAGTGCCTTTTTTTCAAATTTATCACATGTAGGATTTAGATGGCTACCAAAATCTGGCCAGCAAGGGCTGTGAAGATGATTGCGCGAAAACTAAGAGTGCATGGAAGGTGGGGAATAAAATAGAATTAAAAAAGAGCAATTCACTGAATCAGGGTTGGAAGACATTTAGCCAGATTTGCATACCAGCCCACAGCCACCTCTCCCCTTGACACAGACCTTCCGTTAAGATGGATTTATCTTTTACTCTAAGGACTACCAGGAATAGTGTATCAAGGGCCTTTTAGGCTTTTTTAAAAGTTGGGGTGCCTGGGCGGCTCAGTTGGGTTGAACGTCCGACTTAGGCTCAGGTCATGATCTCACGGTTGGTGGGTTCAAGCCCCACGTTGGGCTCTGTGCTGACAGCTAGCTCAGAGCCTGGAGCCTGCTTCGGATTCTGTGTCTCTTTCTCTCTCTGCCCCTCCCCTATTCATGCTCTGTCTCGCTCTCTTTTTCAATAATAAACAAATGTTTAAAAAAATATTTATTTTTGAGAGAGATAGAGAGAATGAGCCTGCGTGGAGGAAGAACAGAAAGAGAGGGAGAGAAAGAATCCCAAGCAGGCTCCTGTCAACACAGAGCCCGACATGGGGCTCAGTCCCACACACTGTGAGATCATGATCTCAGCCAAGATCAAGAGTTGGACGCTTAATTGACTGAGCTACCCAGGCACCCTGGAGGCCTTTTAGGTTATAGATTCACTTATTCACTAAGAGTCTTTTCTTCTGTTTCATATACTATTGATCTTTTGAACAAAACTGTAAAAGTGTATATAGTACATTTGGAGAGGGGTTCTCACAGACTTCCCTGTGCTGACTGAATGATTTTTTATTATAATGTAACTTAAATATGCACAGACATGAAAACAAGATATAAGACTGTTCTTAAGTAACTCTATGGCCAAAAATGTATAAGCTTAAAAACTATAAAATCAATAAACTCATATTTTTATTAGAAAATACCGAGATGAGTGAAAATGAAAACACAACTTTCCAAAAGTTATGGGATAGAGCAAAAGTAACGCTAATAAAAGGGAAACTTTTAGCTGTAAACACATAGATTAAAAAAGAAGAAATAACTCAACAAGCTAACTGCACACATTAAGGAATAAGAAAAAGAAGCAGCCCAACCCAAAGCTAGAAGAAAGAAGGAAATAATAGAGATTAGAGCAGAGGTAAATAAAATAAAGAATAGAAAGTTAATTTTAAAAATCAATAGAACTGGTTGCTTCTTTGAAAAGATCAACAAAACTGACAAACCTTGAATTTGTCTGCATGCTTCCTCATGAGAGCATTAGGGTTAAAGCCTTCTGGGCAGGGAAACTACATAGGTGATGTTTTGACACCAAAATTCTTTTTTTTTTTTTTTTTACACCAAAAACCATTCTTAAAACAGAAACGCCATCATTCACTCTATTGCTCCAGACTCACTACCTTCTTGAGAAAACCAAACTCCTGCCTTGAATTCAGTTCCTCCACCGTATGGTGCCCCTCCCCCCACAGCAGCACCAACACAAACTCTCTGATCTCCAGCCAATGCCTTTCCCTATCCTCAAACGTGCTATTGTCAGAAAGTCAGAAAGACCTTCAGATACCACCCAGCCCAATGTCTTCATTTGACAGAAGAAACCTTTTGCTGCGAGAAAAGAAGGGACCCAAGGAGGAAATAAAAATGGGCCTTCTAGAAAAAGGAATGCTGACTCTTCACTATGAGAATTTCCTTCACACTTATCTCCTAGTCAGACGACCTGGGGCAGGGGAAGAATTAAACTAATTAGTTGGTCAGCTGAAACTATAAAGTCATATCATAGACCTTCAGCTGTAGCATTTTTACCCATTTCAATTAAAACACACTGGTTTTTTTATGCTCAGAGGTGTCCCGTGTCCCTTGAAGAGATCTGGCAAAAAGAATGGTCAATGGCCAGAGAACCACCACAAAGTTCAGAGACTCTAAGACCAAACTTATAAACTCAGGCTATAGAAGCAACCTAAATGGCCCACCTGAAAACAATCTGACCTTACCTCACATCATGTGCAGGACTAATTCAAGATGGGCCTCAGATCTTACTGTAAAAATTAAACAAACTTCTAGGGGCACCTGGGTGGCTCAGTCAGTTAAGTGTTGACTTTGGCTCAGGTCATGATCTCATGATTCATGGGTTCAAGCCATGCATCAGGCTCTGTGCTGATAGATAGCTTGGAGCTTGCTTCAGATTCTGTGTCTCCCTCTCTGCCCCTTCCCCATTCACACTCTGTTTCTGTCTCTCTCTCAAAAATGAATAAACCTTAGAAATTTTTTTTTTTTTAAGGAAACTAAACAAGCTTCTAGAAGAAAATACAAAAGAGCATCATTGCAATTTGGGGGTTGGTGATGATTTCCCACAAAACAAGAACCATAAAAGAAAAAATTGATAAATTAGGCTTTCACAAAATCAATACCTCTGTTTAGGCCACAGACTGGAAGGAAGTATCTACAAACTATATCTGACAAAGGATTTTTATCTGGAATATATAAAGAATTCCTACAAGTCAATAATAAAAAGGCATTGACAATAAACTATTTGTAAAAAAAAAAAAAAATTAAAAAATAAAAAGTGATTTCCTAAAGAAAAAAATAATAATAATAAAAAGGCAAATAGCCAATTTGTTGTAGTGAGCAAAAGATCTGAGCAGACAGCTCACAAAGGAAGATATAAACACATTGAAAAGATGCTCAATATCATTAGTCATCAGGAAAATACAAATTAAAACCACAATGAAATACTACAACACGCCCACCAGAATGGACTAGCTTAAAAAGACTGACATCACTTAACATAGGCAAAGATGTGGGGCAATCCAGACTCTCGCACACTCATGGGACTATAAAAAGTACAACCACTTTGGAAAAATGTCAGGCAGTTTCTTATAAATCTAAACATATACCTGCCCAATGACTTAGCAAATTCCACTCCTAGGTATTTACCCAAGAGATATGAACATATGTATTCACAAAAAGACTTAGAGAACAATGTTCATTAGCAGTTTTATGCATAATGGCCCCAAACTGGAAATACCCCAAGTGTTCATCAGTATAAGAATGAATAAGCCAACTGTGGTATATTCATACCACGTAACAGTATTTGGCAATAAAAAGGAACAAACTACTGATTCACACAACATGAATGAGTCTCACAAACATGCTCAATGAAAGCAACTTTGCAGGAAAACTATACACTATATGACTCCATCTATTTAAAATTCCAAAAACAGGGAGCACCTGTGTGGCTCAGTTGGTTAAGGGTCCGACTTCAGCTCAGGTCATGATGTCAGGGTTTGAGTTTGAGCCCTCTATCAGGCTCTGTGCTGACAGCTCAGAACCTGGAGCTTGCTTCAGATTCTGTGTCTCATTCTCTCTCTGCCCCTCCCCAACTTGTGTTCTTTCTCTCTCAAAAATAAATAAATAAATAAAATTTGAAAATGGGGGCACCTTGGTGGTTTAGTCGGTTAACCATCCGACTGCACCTCAGGTGATGATCTTGCAGTTCATGGATTTGAGCTCCATGTGCTGACATGCTGGCTCTGTACTGACAGAGCTTGGAGCCTGGAGCCTGCCTTGGATTCATCTCCCTCTCTCTCTGCCCCTTCCCTGCTTGCACTCTGCTCTCTCTCAAAAATAATAAAACACAAACAAAAAATAGAAGGGGTGGGAATGAAAAAAAAATTTAATAAGAAAAATTTTAATTAAAAAAATTTTCAAAAACAGGCCTAATTTATGGTGGGAAAAAAATCAGAGCAGTGGTTGCCTTCAGGGGAGTTGGAATGACTAGGAAGGAGCATGAGAGAACTTTCTAGAGTGATGGTAATGTTCTCTGTATCTTAACAGGGATCAGGTTATACAACATTTATCAAAATTGATCACATGGCATATTTAAGATCATTGCATTCCACAATTTTACCTAAAAAGGCGGGGTGAGGAGCAAATATTGAACTTTAGTTAATAATACACATGTTCAGAACTAAATAATGCTTGCAAGTTCCTTTGAAAGGAATAAAAAAATAAGACTGGTCAATGAATGGAGAGGTACATGGGAAGATGGGCAGATTTATGATAGAGCAAACATAGCAAAATGTTCACTGCAGACTGCAGATGTGAGTACATCGGTGTTCATCATGCAATTCTTTCAACTCTTTTATATGTTGGAAATTTTCCATATTATAATACTTGGGGTAAATCAGAAAGGGACACATTTATTGTGGTGTGTTTGTTTTTCTTTTGCATTATACTGAGCTTCAGATGACGGACGCTTATCAGGCTTTTAGTCCCCTGAAAAGGAAACAGACCATGGACCAAAAGCATAAATTAGCAGGGTTTATGGGATGCGGCCCAAACATAATCTGAGAAGTCTAAATCCTCTTTCTTAGATGACAGAGGGTATTTGCACATTGGATGTAAGTTGGTTGTATCTTCACAACACAAGGGACAGTAAAAGAAGGCAAGGACAGAGAAATGAAGGTGCATCACCAGGGTCCCTGAAAACCGACAACTATGTAAGTACTGTGAAACGTCTACAGGAGGCTGTGTTCCGTGTTGCTATGACCTGAATCTGAGTTCGGCTGGCTCCAGGAGAAAGCAATGTGGGGATAGAAGAGAGCTTTAAACACTGGGATGGACGCGACCCTGTACAAGGGATTCTCTCCAGCTACAGTCGCATTCATTCCAGCGGTGGACGGATGGACACTGCAAGAGTAATTCACAACGAATTTTGAAAGCAGACCAAAACCCAAGCCACACCATTAACAGGCCCAGTAAGTCACAGCCTCTTCTCTCCTAAAACAGGGCAAGAGGATCTGGGGCACCCCCTGGCATCGAGGCAGGGGAACAATGGTTCATCCCCTGGATGGCGGAAGATGCCAAGAGGCTCTGGGAAGACAAGTGATGGGCAGCTTCCACTAGAAATGAAGTTCTTCTGTCTCACGGGTGCCCTAAGTCGGAGGGCGCCTGTAAAACTGTACTCTTCCTCGAGCCCTGGGCATACCATGTGAACAAGGGAAACTAGCCTTAGGCCAGGTCAATTTTCCCTGAAGTTGAGATAAAAACAATCCTGTTCACTCAAACACCACCTGACCGAGGGCCTCCTGCTTTTAGATCAGAAGATAACAGCCTCCAGGAATTCCACAGGCTCCCTGGGCGAACAACACGCAACACTGTCACATTAGATTCTATTTAAGATACAGATGAGGACGATAAGAAGAGTTTTAAGGAGACTGAAAGATTTTACTGCCTTGGGTTTTGAGGCTTATCTTTAACTCCTTTGGTGATGGCAGCAAACAGGGAGGCTCCTACAGCAGCGCTTGGAGCAGAGGAGAGAGCACTGTCAGGGCAGCCCCCCATCCCCTCAGAGCCAAGCGAGCTGTTACCTGCGAAGCCCACTGGATCTGCGTGTGCCAGGCCCCGAGCAGGGCATCATAGAACTCGGTGAGCCGCCGGTCCAGGGGGAGGTCGCTGTGGCACAGCTCTTGCCAGGTTGCTAATAGCCGCGCCTGCAGAGGCAGAAAGGGGACCCGCTGAGTGGCTTAGATGCCCCGCCCGCTAGCGCTGCCCCCCAGCAAGGCCAGCGACTTCCGCTGCCTACTGACCCGAGCAGTTGGGTGCCCGCTGAGGACCATTCGCTTCAGAGGCGAGGGAAAAAGAGAAGTCACAGCCACCTGCTCTGATCATCAATCAGAGCTTGAGTTCGTTCCCCTCCCAGTGTTCCTTTCTTCCTTCATCTTGTCCCAACAGCTCGCCAAGGTCCTTGGCGCTGGGTGTGCTACACTCTCCCCGACAGACCTTCCGGGTGCTCGTGAGTGTGCGCTTCATCTTCATGTCCCAACACCACTGCTTAAAGACGCATGAGGTTGGACTCGAAGGAATTAAGTTAGCCCGGGAAGCTGTCAGGTTGTTGTTTTTTGTTTTTTGTTTTTTTTACCTAATGTCAACAACCCTAGAAAACAAAAAATTCTTATGGCTTCCGGAGGGCATCATAAGGCCTAAGAGACTACTCTCCCTTGAAAGACAAGAATGGGAGGAATTACAATACCTTTTCAGTCTATAAATGAAATCCAGCTATAAACACAAAATATGCTGAAAACTGAGGGCTTGCTCCCCACCCCACCCCACCCCACCCCCACCTCCCAATGCTGGCAAAGAAACGAATCCACAGGCTGGACCAAGATCACCCCCTATTGGCTAATGAAAAGAAGGGCCACAGGGCGAGGAGACCAGCCGTCTCTCCCTTGGCGTACAAACATTGGGGTTCTGCAGCCCCATGCTGTACACGTTACACCACATATGCACTCCCAGCTTCTCACCTTGTGACATTTGTAGTAGTAGGCGAGCAGCTGAGGCATCCGGTCAATTTCGGTAAACACCTTCACAAACATCTTGGACTGATCTGAAGGAGAACAACATAAAACATGCATGCGTCGTTACCAGCTTTCCGGTTGCAGGCAAGAGAAAGAGTTTGCTAGGCTACGTGTGGGTACATGTAAGCTCCTGCTTGGAACTTCTTACCTACACAGTGGATTAACTTGTGAATGGAGAATAAGAATATGAAAAATAAGTCAAGATAAGGGCAGAAGACATAACTCAGACGCCGCAAGTCTTGGCTTGTTTAGATAATGCATCAGTAAGCATCACGGACAGGGTTGAATCGTACATCAGCAAAGTCATTGCTGTATGTGGACGGTGAAATGAGTTCAAATCAGGGCTGGGACTGGGGTGGGGGCGGGAAGGGGGGGGCGGGTAGGGAAAGCCTGGGCTGCAAAATCGAAGGGGACTCTCATTCTCAGGGTTGCACAAGGGCAGGGTGCGAGCCTCCTTAGATTTTTGTGCTTTAGGCGTTTCACCTGCCTCACCTCATCCTGGCTCTGACTAGAATCATGAAACGTCAGCGACAAAAACATATCTAAAAAACCATAATGGACCTGATTTTACAGGTGAAGAAAGTGCAGCCCAGAGAGCTTCAATCACTTGCAGGTCAGTGACCAGACTGCTCAACCACAGCACTGACTGAACCATATGCAACCACTACTATTCAATCAATTTGACCCACAAGCATAGCAATGTCATATGACTCAATCTAACATTTATATGAACTAAAAAATGCTGACATAAGCAGACCTCCTACCTGGTGCTGAGAATCATGATGTTCTTTGCCAGTCCAGGGCCTTTGTACTTTATCTGGGATGATCTTTCTGGCTCTCTGTGTGGTTCTCTCCTTATTAGGAGGGCCTTTGCCAATCAATTTAGAATTTAAAAACCTAAACTAGGTTATTTATTTATTTCCTATCCTATCACATCTCCCCTTTGGTAGAATTAATCAAAATCTATATTATTCTATTTAGTTACTTGTGTGATAATTTGTCTTTCTCACCCTTAGAAATACAAGCTCCATGAGGCTGTGACCTTTTCTGTCTTATCTCACACTGTTCCCAGAAATTAGCGCATCATACTACAAAAATATGTATTAACGGGGGTGCCTGAGTGGCTCAGTTGGTTAAGCACTTGATTCTTGGTTTCAGCTCAGGTCACGACCTCATGATTTGTGAGGTCAAGCCCCAAGTCAGGCTCTGTGCTGCCTCTCTCTCTCTCAAAATAAGCTTTTAAAAAGTAAATTAATGACTATTTAAATAGCATTGTTTTTCAGCAATATAAATAGCATGTTCATGGTAGAAAAAATGGAAAACAAACAAAAAACTGCCAACAATCCTATTGCATTCTGTAAAACAGTCAACATTTTGGTGTGTTTTTAGATCAAAGCAGCTATGTTTACAAGTCTAAATATATAATCACAGGTTGAAAAAAATCTCCACTGGATAGAGTAGAACTTGTTATTTCTTAAAACAAAAAATAAAGCAGGAACTGGTGATACAGCAAACCCAGTTAGGAAAAGTGTTGAAAAACTTACAGGTAACAGGTGAGTCTTTAGCCTTATAGAGGAGTTAAAGTTTTTCAAGGTTAGTACATTCAGTCAAACACAAATTTGTAATACTACGGAAAGTTCTTGACTTAGACAAAAGAAAGAAATAGGAAACTTACTTTGGCAATCATAATGCAGAGTTCTAGCTCTTGCCAATACCACGGACTCAACGCACAAGGCACTGCTTGAGCACCTGCCTGGGGAAGAGCCACCTGCTGGGTGCTGGGGGGGGAAGAGGGGAGACGGGCAGGGGTCTGGTGGTGGACGGGCTGTTGTGCAACCACACCCCACTGCCCTTCTGCTGACAAAACTCTGGCTGTTCTCTGAGGGACAGTGCACCTGCCTCTCATTCTCCCATTTTCCTTTTTTTTTTTTTTTTTCAGAGCAAAATATTCAGTTTCTATTACTAAATAGTACCATTAGCACTTTCCTGTAGCTGCTGGTAATTACATATACATAAGACTGAGCAAATATCACTGTCTTTATCAAAGAATAGTGTTATTACTTTTTTGGTTTTTGTTACCAGTTTTAGTGAGGAACAGTTGATATAACATCACTGTATACGTTGAAGGCATAGAGCATGCTGGTGCTCTATGCCTTCAACATACGATCCACACATATTGTGAAATGATTAAAACAGATTCAGCTAACATCCATTTTTCTCACATAGATAAAATAAAAAGAAAGAAAAAAAGAATAAAGGTCCAAAAAATTCTTTTTATGATTAGAATTCTCCAGATTTACTTTCTTAACAACGGCCCTATGTATCATACAGCAATGTTAGATGTGATCATCATGTTGTACATTACATCCCTAGTACCTGTTATCTTATAACTGAAGTTTGTACTTTTTTTTTTTTTTTGTAAGTAGGTTTCACGTCCAATGTGGAGCCCAACATGGGGCTTAAACTCCCGACCCTAAGATCAAGATCTGAGCGGAGATCAGGAGTCAGACGCTTAACTGACTGAGCCACCCAGGCACCCCTGAAGTTTGCACCTTTTGGCCATTTTCAATTTAAAGGTTTCCAGTGAAGGTGACTACTCCAGGCTCCAGGGTATGGCCAGCACCAGGCCTCAAATCCACCTGATCAGAGAAATTGATTCAGAGACGCAAAAGCCTGCCCATCAATGCAGTCAAGATTAACCCTGGGACCTCTTCTTAAGCTCTGAGGATGGAACTTCAAGGGCTACACGTAAAGTGCACCTGGAAGTAACACCAACACACAGAGAGAGCCAAAAAATGGCACGAGAGAGACTGGGTCCTAATGACATAGTTTGTGTTCCTGGATCAGCAACTTCTCAGTTCCATAAACAATATAATCTCTCTTTTTGGTTTAGGCCAGTTTGAACTGGGTTTCTGTCACTTACAACCAAAAGAAACCCAAACTGATACAAGGCCTCATGGGAATGAGGTGGAGTCTCCAGCCTCTATGCCATCTACCCAAAGTGTAATATGTGGTAAATGGATTCTTATTATATTAAATTAATAACTGATTTTGGATTATAAATAAGGCAGTATAATAGACGTATAGCACCAATGGGAACTTTCATTTATGTTGCCTTTGTGCATGATTTCGCATTCTATTTAACGTAAGGAAGTGCTTCTCACACGATGCCCTGCACACAGGAGATATGTCATAATTATCTGTTAGATGAAATACATGGGGAGAAATGCTCTTAAATCTTGTCCTAAAATACTTCCCCCATTGCATCAACCTCTACAACTTTGCCCTGTTTCCTCCTAGGTATAGACATGGAAATCACCCCCTTCCGCGATGCCTGAGAGGGCTTTTCCCACTCTCTGTCACTCATTCTATATATGGTTGAATGTGTCAATAAATATAAACAGAGGTGAGGAGAATATGAAAGACCTTTGATATACGAAGTAGGTAATAACATTAAAAACAATGCACTCTGGATAAGCTAGCTCCCTTTTACATTCACACTTCTTCCAAAGCTTTTCCATTGATAGAACCTCACTTTAACCTTGTACAATCCTATGAGGCCAGAAGATGGAGAAATTGCCAACAGCATAAATAAGCCAGTCAAGATCACAACTAGAAGGGCCGAGACCACCTGTTGGTCAGGTTCTTGAGACTTCATCTAATTCCATCCAACTTGACAGCTGTCCAACATGACAAGTGACAAGGAGAGAGCTCCAGAAGGAAAGTCTCTGGGGAAAAGGGGAAAGGAACTCAGAAGAACACCTTACTCACATTTTGGGAAAAAAAATGAAGGACTGTGGATGGTAGCAAGAATGAGAGGGAATAGGAGTGCCTGGGTGTCTCAGTTGATTAACTGTCTGTTAATCTCTGCTCAGGTCTTCATCTCAGAGTTCTGAGAAGAAGGAAGGAAGGAAGGAAGGAAGGAAGGAAGGAAGGAAGGGAGGGAGGGAGGGAGGGAGGGAGGGAGGGAGGGAGGGAGGGGGG